AGAGAGTTTTTGGCGTAAAGTTTTCTTTTTCAGTTTAAACAAACGATAATTTAGTAAAAAATCACTATAATCTCACTCCCTCTTTCTCTCTCTCTCTCTCTCAGTTTCAATTCCAATAAGATATAAAAGTTAAATAAAATTATTAATTTTATGACATGCTCTAGATATTCAAAAGAATAAATAAAACAAACAATAAAGGAAATTGAAACAAACAGACAAACAATGATTCGAAAAAGAGTGTAGAAGTATATGTGACAAATAAATGCGGGCACACGAAAGCTTCGAAAATGAATTCACTGTCACTGTTAAGTGCACCAAGCATGTATGCACATGTATGCAAGACCTCAAACTAATTTATGAATGTTGTACAAAACAGTGCAACACACACACTGCACACTGCTTCTTCATAACGTGATAACATGAAATAAGATTTGAAAATTGGCATACAATGGCACCCAATAAACCAATGTATGTAAAATAAGAAAAAAAAAAAAAAAAAAGAAGAAAAAAACTCGTATCCACATGGAAACTGTGTCAGCAGTGCAAAAATAGCACGCATGACAGCCTAAGAAAACGCCTTACTTCTCCTTGCGTTCGCAATTCTGTTTACGAAAGACAGCTTTGTTATAGTTAGTGAAAATTATGTATGAAATGCGCAAGTGAGTTTATGTATGTTGGTATGCATGTGTGCGTGTTGTTATTGAAAAATCTCTAATTATAACATTGGAAAAGTTGGAATGAATGATTAGTTAATTGAGAATGCCTCAGGTGCGCTGAAGCAAAAAATTATTTTGCTTAGAAAAGAATTTTCTTTTGCGATTCGCAAGATTTTTATAAAAATATTTTCGCTTTTTTAGCTACAAGTCACGGCGATCTTTTAACACTTTACAGCGCTTTCCATTTCTCTTACAAGCGTTCTTGCAATCTAGATAAACTATAAAAACGTATCTCGAATTAGAGAGTGGAGTAACCGCAAAGCAGTTAAGCACCTCTCTTGAATCCTTTGCCCAAATCTTAGGGTTAAAGCTATCGCCATTGATAAGCGCCCAATTCGGAATCGATCTACTGTTGCCTTTACATAGATCGTAAAAAAAGTTATTATCTTTCCTTCCATACAAAAAATTGCAAAATAGCTTTTTAGTCCTGACTGCCAGAATTTTAACGACCTATACGATACCAACAATAAATGGTACTATTTAGTGTCCGTGTAGTTTCGGTGGTGTTGTGTTTATGCGTAGGTATAAAGAGGGGAATTGCTCCACAGGAATAAAAGGGATATAACGACCAATCAGATATGGTTCGCAACATTCTCACCCTCTAGCCCTGAAAGTCCCGACAAGCCGCACTTCTTCATATTATCGCGACTCATCGGTCTTCGCGGCCGCCTCTGACTCATTTCTGACTTTTCATATGAAAAAATATTTGTCCCTGAAAAGAAAGATGGGAAAAGATGGGACCGAAATAAAACAGAATAAAATTTTCTATATGCTTTTATCCTTCGCAGTATCCGCCTGAGTAGCCGAAGGCGAGGAATCTTGACTAGCAAGTCAATGGTCGTGGGTTCGAATCTCAAGTGCGGTAGAGTTTTTAATAAAAGCCGATAGCCTAGATGCTAGTGCTTTTAAGACTTTAGTCTTAGAATTTATTTCTCTGGCGAAATTAATAATAATAATAATAATAATAATATCCTTCCCTGCTTAGAGATTTTATTGAGGGAAATGTTGTTAACTTGTTGTGCTGCTTAAGTCTCTTTCTTATGTTTCTGCAACATGAGTCATTGACATTTTTTTTCTAATAGCTCCTTATGATATGCTACATTCTTTGATCAAATAATATTTGTACCGTAAATGATCGAATAGAAGCAAAACGTATTCATAGCTCTCTCTCGCTCTCTCTCATTGCAATCCAAAATTGAATTTTAAATCGAAATTAAAATAAGGGAGGATAGGAATTATAATAAAAACAATCAAAACATAAAGGAAATCTGTTTGAATAGTAATAATAAAATGAACTAGAATGGAAAATAAAGTTTCTCTAGTAAATCTGAATGCATCCGAGAAAACTTTCAAGTACGTATAATATTCAAATAAAAATTCAATTCAATTATTTTCTCCAAACCTATAGGAAACCCTTGACATAATGCATGGCGAATTTCAAAGTGACCAATTTTTATCTGATCTTCTTATCTTCTTCGCTTGCTTCTTGGCTTAACTTATGTTTACATGCAAAGTATCAGGTTTGTTTATTTACTTTTAAAAATGTAAAGTCATAAAAAAAGTGGACGGCATCTTTCAATTACTATTGCAAAAACCCTTTAAAGTATTTACTATTGTTTCCAGTGCAATTCACATATCTTATTTTCGAAAAAATTTAAGAAGTAAATTGTTAACAACATTCATGGCATGCATTCATTATATTCGCCTGGCGAAAATGTAAATAAACCTCTGCCTTGTCACATGCATTCATGTCTTAATTTCATTAAACTTTCGTTTTCATGGTAATGAAAAAAAAAAAAATTTATTATTTTCATAGATCAAAATCAGGCGCACATGTGCGCAAAACAAAACAAAGGAAAAGAAAAGAAAAATGAGCGATTATAACTGGTTTGTGTTCTTTGACGCTTAAACTAAGAACACGAAAACTCTAACATCCTAGAAATCTTCTCTTTGACTGAGTTCTGTTCATAATATTCTCCAAATTGGTTCAGCTCTAGTTACTGTGAAAAAAGAGAAAAAGTTAATCTTCCAATACAACAAAACCAGAACGAAAATTTCTTTCAACCTATTTTTAAATTGAAATTATTTTGATTTTCATTGTTTTCAAATTGAAGACCAATTTAATGAATCTTCTCATCACATGCCGAGAAGAGTGCTTAACCGATGCAGCAAAACTATACCAGCAATTGCTTAAGCGTGTGTATTCGTAAGATATCATTAAAAGGCATTAGCTTGGAACGGGTCTTAACAAGTGCAAACGAGTGAATGAGCGAATCTTAATCTTTCATGAGATACGAACTTTCAAAAAAAAAAAAAAAAAAAATGAAGAAAAAAGATTACGCACGCCTTACACGGAATTATTGCTACTTGCTAGACGAGAGGAGATTTGAGAAACTAATGCAACAATGTTAAAAACGGTTTTTAGAAAAACAAAAAAAAAAAAAAAAAAAAAACGATTTAAGCCATAAGTGTTAAGCACAGACAACAGCACAAACTGAGACAAAGTAATTCCATCACAAAATAACTAATTAATGTCCGATAATAATTTATACGAAATCTCTATCTCCATCTCAGTACCTTAAGAAAGCAAATATATCCTCATCACCACAATAGTATATGTAATAAAATGCACACTTGTTTGAAAATTTTCACATCAGCAAGATTTGCTTTTAGCCTTTTATATATCATCTTAAATGGCGATTTTAATATATCAGTTTTCGCTTTTTTTTATAATTGGTCTGCTTCTGGCCGCTTCTTTTTTACACCATTTTAGAGAGAGAAAAAGTGCACTTTAAAAAAATGCAGAGTAAGAATTAACTTACAACGAGAAGGCATACTAGTGTAAGTGTCTGGCATTTTATTTATATGCTTTGTTCCTGCTTTGTGCTGTTGTTCCTTTCTTCTTCTTTTCTTTTTTGCGGTTCAATGCTTTAAGCCGAGATGAGAAAGAAGTGCTCGAAGACGGTACTAGCAAGCCGTGGATGGGCTTAGCACCGCTTTTATAGCTTACACATCTGGCAACAATAAGCGGTCGCGATACCCATACCCTCTTTCTAACAACGAAAATGTCGAACTCTGCCCGAACGATACAAAAGAGAGTCCTTCTGTACCTTAACATGGAGATGGAAAGTGGATCTGTTATGCGAGCCCCAGGCTTTAAATGTCATGCACAGATCCTGGTCTTTTGTTAGCTGTTAAAGTTTGACGAAACGCTTATAATGAAACAATGAAGCAATTAATCGATCTCACTTTTTACATGGCGTCACTTCATTTATGCCTACAACGAAGCCGATTAGCGATACGTTGGAAACACTTAACTAAGAATTGCTAGTCTGTGCGGCTTACTCAGTGCACTTGAAACCTTCCGACTGCCGTTTGCTTGAGTCAATGGGGCAGGCATCTGCTGAGTAGCGCTTCTCTTCTTACGAAAAACTGCAAAAATGCTTCGAGCCAAGAGGTAAACTGTACCTTTAATGTGGCTTGCACGAAGCGGGGAAACGTATGGCTAGCGACTGGCAACACTTTCAATAAAATATTTTTTTATCATTTTCATAGATTTTAATAAGACTTTTTGCATTGAATTTTCATAATTTTGTTTTCTTCTTTTTTTTACTGTGTAGATTTAGAAGATCAGCACGATTTAAAAAAACATTAAAAAAAAAGTCTATTCACAATTAATAGAAATCTTTACGCAAAATATATGAAACTTTTTGAAAATATTTTATATAAAACAATCCTTACGACGAAGGCAGTAATTGGGTCAAATTTTTTTGGCTTTTAGTCTTTTTTGTGCGCATTTTCTTGCTGCTTATTGCACTGTGCTTTATATGCATTTAAAAATCATTTCAGCCGTAACTGTAATATAGGCATTAACACTTGTTTTTTGTTTTTTTTTTTTTTTTTTTTTTTTCTTACCATTTCTTTCACATTCAACTGATTTTCTCCGTAATGATGATCATGTGTAGATGACTGCCGCCTCTTAAGCTGCAGCCAAATACATTTGAAACAATTAGACGAATAATTATTAAAGAAAAAGAAAAATTTTTATAGAAAATTTCATGAAAAACTTAGCCGCAGTATAAAAATGTAAAACAAATAAAGATTTCAATCAGTTTCAAACAAAACGCTGCATGTTTACTTATAGATAATTCTATTAGCGATAAGCACGTACTGAAAGTGCAGATTACAAACAATATCCAGGATAATCAGCGTCAAGCATCAAGAAGGATAACCAAAGTTTTTTTTAATAATTAAACCAATAAAAATTGATTGAGCGAAAACATTATGTTGAGTTACGTGTGGCATGCGGCCGTAGTAGCGTTTATTTTTTGTTTGTTGCCAAACGTAAATGCCCGCAGTGCCACTCAAAATAATGTCGCCGTCAACTATTCGCCACAGCAAATGCCATCCAAGCAACAAGAACAACAACAACAACAACAGCAACAACAACAGCAACAACAACAGCGGCAACATCAAGAACAAGACCAACAACAACAACAGTATGCGAGCAGTATTGCTGCCGAGACAACAGAAAACGATGAAAACCCATCCCATGACGTCATCGATAACTCGGCGAGTACGGCAAATGTCTGGAAAGATCTCTCTTTGGTTTACCGATTGTATCAGCAATGTTCGGGAGAGAATTTGTCCGTATGCCTGAAAGTGAAATTACTGACGGGACTGGAGAAAGCTTTACGCTCTGCGCGAAATTTAAAACTAATCGAAGGCATACAGTTTGTTAGAAGCAAAAGCGACGACACGGAAACAAAAATTAAACCAATATTAAATGAAAAGGATATAGAGGCGATATTGCCGCGTGCCTTAGAAGCTAAAGAGCAAACACTGAATAACATGATATTTAAGAGGCTGGCAAATTTCTTGCAAGACCACACCTTGCAGGTATTTCATAGAGATTTCTTATGTTTATTGCAAAATTGTGCAGAAAAGCGTCTTTTCTTTGCAGATCAAATTCCCAGACATACGGCCCGAAGATGATAATAGCAACAGTGTGGAGAGTCGTAAAAAGAAAGATAAAAAGGGCGGCGGCGGCGCCTACATAATGATTCCTTTGCTATTGGGCGGAACATTCGTACCTATTGCTTACGGGGCCTTAGCAATGTTAGCGGGCAAGGCCTTAATCGTGTCCAAACTGGCTTTGGTGTTAGCCTCGATAATTGGCATTAAAAAACTGCTGAGTGGTGGTGGGAAGGAATCGTCACATGAAGTAGTCGTCTCGGGTGGCCATTCCGGCTGGGGGAGAGATTTGGATTTAGCCTACAATGCTTGGAAGCCGAATAAAGATAAAAATCAATAAATTTATTTTAATTGATCTAGAATTTTGAAACGATTCTGCAACGATTTATTACCCTATAGTTTAACTAAGGGCGAATTTGAAATAAGAGGACAATCGTGAAGGAATTCATTGCAAAAAGTTGAAGAGAAAAAAGAACAAAATTGAACACAAAACAAAGGTACTGCTTGTTAATTATAAGGAAGTTATAAGTGTGCGTTAGGCTTTCTTAGGTTACTTAATTTATTTAATTAATTTAATTCTTATGTATTCTTAAGATGTAAAAACCCAAATAAAAATGTTTAAAATACAAGAAGGGATAAAATAATGTGAAACAAATGAATATAAATAAAACTCTTTAATTGTTGAAAAAAGACAAAAACAAAATTGTATTCCTCCTCAGGACACCGTCTTAAATACGCTGTGAAAAATGTTGTATAAACATAAGTTCGCTCTTCATGTTCATAATTGAATGCGTTGCTGAGAAATCCGGCCGTGCGAGCCGGGAAAAGCTTGACATTTTCTTCGCCTAGCAGTCGAAAACTTGGCCCCAGAAAATATGCGATTTACACGTAGCCGAGAATCTAATGACTTCCCGTGGCTAGACGTATAACACGTGCTATGCGCACTCTTTTTATCCGCCTCAGGAAGTTAGTCATAGTTGCACCAACTTAATAGCTTCCTTCACCTAACTGGAAAGAAGGACATCAAATCTGTGTGTTTTCTGTAATTTACTCCTCCATTCTTTCTTTGGTTGTTTAAATTTCCAAAGCTTCCACAAATCCATTTCGTACATTATGTACGAAAGTGAGCAGAGGCATGCGTAATACAGCAGCCAAGTTAAATAATAAACATATTATATTTAGTAAAAAGACGCTCATGAATGGCAATAAAGTTATGACGAAAGCGGATAAGGGGTAATAGTACTTCGAGGAGAACCGTCCACAATGTAAGGAAGGTCTTGGGGACATCGTCGTCACCTGGGGAGAAGCCATAGCTTTTGGTTAGCGTTATCAAGAAAGTAAATTAAGAATTGTATTAGTCGCAGCAGTGTAGTGTATTTGATAATCGGCCATGTCCAAAAATTCGCTTTCACTTAAAAAGAATTAAATAAAGCAAAAGCAATAAGATTCGGTAAAAACGAATGACTTTCTTTTCTCATGTAAACCTTGTCTCATTTTCCGCACGACTACAATAAACTATTTGTGGATTCTCCTTTGCATAATTGCTGCTATAATTGACTTAATCGTAGTTTTCTCACTTCCCTGAACATCGTTCTTCACGCGAATTTAGCTTGTATGAAAAGCGTCTAATCTGTAAGAGGCGAAGAGACGGTTGTGGCTCAACTAGAATTCATACAAAGACATTAACCCACCGCACAACGAGACAATGGAAAATTGTTTAACTCTGTCTTTCTGTCTTGATTTATTATATAAGAATAAATTATTCTTCATATCCTCTTAACTTCGAACATTGTGTACTGAAGCATTCTTACTCTTGCCGGTATTGGTGCTTGTATCTTCCTATTGAATGTGATTTTCATTTTCGTGTCCAGATCAGAAAAGTGAAACAAAAACTTGAAATCACTTAATGTGTCGTCACTTATAACCTTTTGACTTTATTTAGTTGGGAAAAGCCCGGCGAAAGTAATGAACTCGATAACAACTATTGCCTAAACATGTAAACATGGAAGAAGATTATCAACAATCATGGTATAAGAAATAATGTTTGGATTCGCTATTGATCCGGCTATTGCTTGAGCATGGAGTTTTTGGTTAGCTTAACAAGTTTTATACAGTGTTTAGACATATGCTGTTCTCACACGTACTCCCATCTAGAGGTTTTGTGCAAGCAAATACTCAGGCTTATCTAGCGCACCTGCCATTAAACCAAATATACTTTTGTGTGTTTATGTTTACTTACAGATATATGCATACATATATATGTATATGTTGGGTGAAGGAGAAAGACTTTTCAACGGAGTGTTAACGGAATTTTTAGTATTTAAAATTTTTCAATTTCGCCAGTAGAAGCAATAACATTCATATATATGCCTACACAATGGATAGGTACGTGCAGAAAATCATAAAACACACGAGTCGTTCGTACAACAAAGTAATGCAGAGAACGAAAATTCGCTTTCTTTTAACGCAGATCTGCGAAGTACAATGTATAGCACAGAAAACCTAACGAACGCATAAGGCATCGTACCGCAAGCGAATCATTTACAAAAAAAAAAACAACTGCAACGCAGTAGCAATTCAATTGCATCAAGACCGTAAAGTGCCACTTCTTCGACGACACGCTAAACACCGCAAGTGTTTACAAATTATGCACTGCAGACAGCCAACGATTGTTTGTGATACCATTGTCAAAGCCAGCATATGTACGCTTGCACAGCCAATACGCAGCGCATTCCTACTTACGCGTTAAGTTATATATACAGGAAAACCAACGTGTTTTTCTTTCGCAAAGTGCTAGAGAAACACATATTAAAAGTGGAAAAAAAGTGCTCGTATAATTAATATTTTAATGACAATTCAAACATTTATTTGTTTTTCGCATTTACGAATCGCTTGTTTTCACTTTTTAAACCATGCCATGCATAATAATGAGCAGAAAAATATTTTTCAAATTAATTAACACTGAACTAAAGTGTCGGAAACGTATCGTAGGTACAAGACAAGACAAGGGTGAGAGTGAAAAATTTAAATGTCGTTCTGGTAAGTTTTTCAAAAATGCAGCACTAGATTAAGTGCAATATTCGGGGTATGTAAGTGTTAAATGAAGGAGGATGCAAAGAGAGAGTGACGATAAATACCAAGGCCACGTTCTTTTCTTAAAAATTCTAAAAAAAAAATTCCTTCATTCATGCTTTCGTTTTTATACCAACCATCGAAGAATGAGAAGGTATTCTCATTTTGTGAAATGACTTGGAACACGTTGAAGAAAGACTTGGAGCTCCCAAGCTAGATACATATACATACATTCAGAGTCAGAGTTAAATTCCAAATCAAACTAGCAACGTCCCGCCTGTTAGTCTGCGATAAATACTCTTCCGATCGCAAACATTAAATTGTAAGTAGTAGTAGTATTAACGTTGAATGTGGGAGAAATGGTACAACGGACGCGCTTACAGTATAACATGAACTAAGAACAGCAAACTCCATTATATACTCTATGCGTTCCCTTTATATTGGAAAGCATCGAGATGTAGTTTCCCTCGTTCTTTCGAATTTCGTTTAAGATAAAGTCGGAAGGTAAGCTTAAACGGTTCAATCACAACCGAGCGTATTTTTCGTACTTGTTTTATGCAAGTTGAACTGGCCCCACACTTAGCGAACACAAAGTGATTTAATTCCTTAAGGCAGATATCTACGTAATCGCTTGACTTCTCTTCACCGTAGATAGGAGAACTTTTGTTTGCCACAGATGTACGTGAATACTTGCATAGTTAATCAGAATAAGATTCCCAGAACTCTTCCTTTTGATTGAACGATAAACTGAGACAATCAGTTGTCAAATAGTCATATGTCACACATGACGCTTTCCAATATGTGCAAGATTCAACCCTAACTACCAGAGAAATACGTTTTCTGGGTAAATTTAATAATTGCTTTTTGTATTATTGCTTAACAATAAACCTAAACAAGTGGAGGAATGCACGTCGTGCGACTTAAGCAGCGACCTTGACAACCTAGAATGCATCAATACTATTACATGTCGTCTAAATAAGCGCATGAATAGAGCATAACTGTATTGTGTGTTCATACAATGGACTGTAAGAATAATTAAAATGCTTTGAGGAAAGAAATCGCAAAAATCCAGTACAATAGAAATGAAAAGAAAAATGTTCTTTTTACGTTCGTAAAATTTCCGAGAAAATATGTAAAGAAAAGAAAAGTTATGTGATTATGGGTTAGCTGTCTTTAAAAATATAAAAGTAAATAATAGTAAACAAGAAGACGTTCAATCTCTGAATTCTCCAAGCCAGCAGCTTGGAACGATACTGCTCTTAGTTTAGTTGATGGAAACTCATTGAACACGTTCATCCTTCAAACGTAATCTGGTCTGATCAGCCAGCAACTAGCAGCCAAGTGTTTCAACTTTATATCGCATGAGAGAAAGAGATAATGACGGACGCAGAAGGCAGAAATGATTGAATCGAATTAAGGCCCGATATGCACGCTTTATGACAACTTTCTTCTTAGTTGTGGGTGCGTTGTTGGTCTATTCAGAAATATTTCAAAAAAAATTTATCAAAATATACATCATATGAACATATGTTGGCTGCGAAAGTCGGTTTATATGCGGCGTTCGCGTATCTCTTGAATTTTATAAATCAAAGAGGCATGTAAAGACTTAATATACCCGCACACTCGCACACTCGCATGTGGAAGAGACGAACGTTTAAAATATTTCCACATAAAAAGTGTTGGCATTTGCGTTATAAAAAGTTATGAATATTTCTTTTCCTTAGCAAACACATTTACGTGACGGCATTTTGTATGCATACGATGTGTCATTTTTTTATGTTTCTCACTCTCTTTCACTTACTTATATCTATATTGGATTATAGCTGTCATTGATTGCCAAACTTTAAAATGTTATTTAATGTAATGAAAATTGTAACTGCATTGTACGTGTATGCAAAACGGAAATTTTATATATCTTATGTTTACGGCTAAACGCAACACATGAATTTATTTCATATCATTTTGGAATTTATTTCATATCATTTTGGGTTTTTTATTCCAAAAGTTTTCATATCAACGGAACGTACTCCAGTTCGTATTAGAAATTACAACACGGCACTGATTTATTATCCATATGTAAAGTGTAAAGCAATTGTGGCCAAGAAGCAGAATTAGATTTAAAAATTGACTTGAGTGGTTTTAGCATAATCATGCACACACACTATATGACGGTTTCATTTAGTTTGCTGCATGGTAGACATGTATTATTTAATTCTTGTTATTATTTTAACGACTTTTCTTTCTTTACTTCGCGTTAAATCACAATTTAGCAAAGATGCTAAGCAATGTTTTTAGCAAAGACGTGACCTTTCAAAATGCAGACGGTCTTCATGGAGCATTTTTCCTTTGAGTACTACTAAAAACCTATGCGTATGTATAGGCGCGCTGCTCATCAAGACGGATTATACTTCGGGAAACATATCGCGACCATCACACGATGCTGAAAACATTTGCACCTCTGTCGGTCTAAGGGCTATATTAGAAAAGTTCACATTCGGAAAAAATGTCGACGGAAATTGAAACTGATCTATCGAAATCCCATTTGACGGTCCCATGCTGTTAGTGAATAGATCTGCTCCGACAGCCTACAAACACATCAACAAAGTAACAAAACTAAAATCTGCAATTCATAAAAGACCTCGGTCTGAAAAGCCTTGTGTACATCTCCAGACCGTATTTAAAACTTTGGTGAAAAGTATTGAGCCAAAAACCCAGTAAAGACATTTCCCAGTGGCAGTTAAAAAAGCACTCAAAATTGATCAGCTGGTACACTTTACTTCTACTAAAACATATTTTAGTTGAAAAACATGCGTTGCCGATATCGAAGATTCGCTCTGACACTAGGGCTGATTCACGTCGAAGAGCCGTAAGCACGGAATAGAGTACAATGCGCCCGTTAAGCGTGAATTTGAAAAATGCTTAGAATAGACTCCACATCGCCATCAAAATTATTATCTATCTTCCAATCTATGGACTATGTTTTATAATTTTTGAACCTCAGAAGGGCAGTTCGGTATCCCTTTATTGCAGCCGATACTGATCTCACGATTTGCTAAACTCCACGCAGAGCTGCAAATCCCAAAAAAGCTTTTAACCCACTTTCATGACAAACCGCCCCATTAACAAATTCGCTTTGAATTCCAATGCAAAACTAAAGAAAAAAACCTGATAGAAGAAATTATAGAAAATTTTTAAAGTTTCCTAAATTATGTTAAAAAAAAAACATAAAAAAATAAAAAAGAAATAAATCAAACTCATGAACGAGCAAACAAATTCATTTGTCAGATACACAAGAGAACCCCATTAACGAATTTATAGATCATTTGGCAAACAGTGGTGTTGGTTATAATGATGGCACTGCATAGACATGTTTGGCAGAAGTCAACTGAGAAAATAACATTTATAAGGTGAAATTTTATATATGTATATCCACAAACAATGTGTGCAACAATGCTACTGACACGCACAAGACCAAGCAACTCTGTCTGTTGAGAATGTTCAACGGAACTTTTCTGTGGTGACAAAAGGTTTTTTTTTTTATTATTATCTCACACGCAAAAATGACAAATCATTCTATAAAAACAATAATGTTCAACAAAACTGTGCATCACGACGATAGCGCACACATTACGGTGAAGGAGGATAAAATGAAAAAGCCGTCACAAGATTTACACAACCTTCTGTTATCGCATCAGTTTTGTTAAGGCAACATCAAGAGGATGTAACATAACTTTTCATATAACTGACACTAATCTCACCCAGCCATCTACTTTAAACGCACAATCGTATAACTTATCATCACGATATCATTTACGATTTTCTCTTTTCTTTCGATTCCCTACCCCGTATGTGAATTATTTCCATGGTTTACTTCGAATTAACATTCCGAAGTTAATCTTATCGATTAATAGGTTGACAGAACGCAGATCCCCCAAAAATATTTACAAATGCAGACAGGAAAAGAAAATGTGTAAGTCGGAGGTAGAGTTGGTCTACGATTAGACAAGTGCATTGCCATTAAAAATTGTACATATTCTTGATTAACGTGAACAGCTCTCTATCGATCCATTTACCTACCTAATGATAAAATGAAATTGTGAGCAAATTCGGCACGTTTGTTAAACTTGTCGTGTTCACCTTGGAACTTATGTGTGAAAGACCGCAACATCGTCCTCTAGCTACGACATTGACACGTTAGTCCTGAGTTTGCACACGTGACACTACCGTGTTTGTCGCTTTTGCAGAACTTTCGCAAGACTAAGAGAAGTTGACTACAAAGGAGGTCTATTAAAATAATTTGGTTTCGAGTTTGACTCGGAAATCTCACGAGACGCATTTTACGGAAAGTCGATCTTCTCCATTTAACAAAACCTACTTGCACGTATGACAAATGAGTTCTGGGAAACTACAGAAGGTATCTTAAATTCATTCATAGGTAAAAGCATTTATTATGATTTGAATTTGTGGCTAATGCGGCCATTTTTCATTGGAAGACTTAAGCAAACCGATAAAGAAAAAGCAAGGAAAAGGGAAACTATTTCAAATTTGAGGTTATTTGAGCCTATTGATGATGGTAAGACATGTCAAAAATATAGTTTGCTCCGCAATAGCTCTGAATACATTAACCCCGCAAGGCATATTCGATTTTTGCTATAAAACTATCAGCAGTTTGTCGCAACTTTATTGCGAATTTCTTCACGCGCCAACACACTGTACCCGAACCATTACAAATAACATACAAAAAAAAAAAATAAAAAAATAAAAAATTGAAAACAACTACTGATAGAAATCCACAACTGTAAGACACAAAATAAAATAATCAATAAATTGACCACATAATCACTTATACTTACGTCTGTCGGTATATATCGATTTATCGATTGAAGAAAGTTGAACGAAAGAAATAAAAAGGAATTGGAGCCAATGTAACGAATTTGTATGCATAAGAGTAAAGCGCTGTTATGCTTAACATTATATCGATTGGACGATTGGTGAAGGTGAAGACGAAGACGAAGACGAAGAGGAGCATAAGCCAGGATCGAAAAAAAAAAAAAATCAAAACTTTTACTTTATGCTATCGGAAATCGCAACTTGTTTGTATTCTAAGCGCTTCGGCTTGAGAGGAGCTGACTAACGCAACCAAAATCTGTTTTACTCTAAGAGAGCAGAGTGGCTGACTGCTGCTGATATCTTTGCACATGTACATGCCTTTGTGCTTGTTTGTGTCATTGATATTGAATTTAAATTCACAATATTTACGAAAAAAATATTCACATTGTTGTTGCTTACATCGTCTTCTTTCTTCGCTTTCTCAGTGGTTTTATTATGCGGTAGATGAGGATGACGCTTACAGCAAAAACTCTACTACCAAACATATACGAGCTGAAATGCATGCATTTATTTAGACAGACATGTTATACGTATGCCTGCATGTGCAAGTGGGTCTGCGTACGTATGACAACTATTAGTCGTTTGTGTGCGCTTTTAAAGTATTGTCTTAAGAAGCGCTTGTGTGTCGGGAATAAAACTCGATTAGCGAGCGTCTTCTAGTCACAGTTTACCGGTTGCCTTCTGACCGATCAATTGCATTTAATATACATACGAGTGGATATTACCAAAATAGTGCCAAAGAAAATTTAAAAATATTAAATAAAGTTTACTTCATCTTTTTTCTTCTGCGATAAAGCCCAGGCCGTGTTAAGGATATTATAACTTGTTGTATGGATTATTAATAATAACAACAACAACAACAACAACAACAACAACAACAGTAAACAAAAAGCAAATAATAATAATTCAGTTAACTGTGCAACTGCGAAATATAATTTATTCAATATGTGGAAATTTATGTGTTTATTTGCTCTAATGGCAACAGCCGATGCCACACAAACATCTGAGGATGATAGTTTATTGAGCAGCGCTCTGAAAATGGTTAAAGACTGCGGTGATAAATCAATGGTATTATGTTTCAAGGTAAGAAAAAACAAACCGAGACCTTATGACACACGAAAAGTATGCAACAAGAAGGGCATGCAGTACATAAACAGTGACGCAGGAAGAAAATCTACGTAGGCCTGGTGTTGGATATTCGCTCCTACGCAAATGTTAATTTTTAATCGTTATCTTTGCCGAGGTCATCCAATTATGAAGGTATTGATCAAGTTGCGTAGACGCTTATGATAAACTTGACAGAAACGAATTCAAATTTCTTCACGAGCCTGTCCGTTTTTCCCCAAGGCTTTTTCACCCTACTTTCTTTTATGCGGCGGTAGTTCTTCGTTGAATTCAGTGATGCAGTATGCGTGCTTAGTCTGCCATAATTTTTACCCGTTTGAGAATTTCGTTTGGAGGCAGACAGTTTCCACGCGCTTCTCTCGGGGAATCACTCTTATTATAAGTAAAATAATTTCCTTTGGGATTGCAGTTTACTGGCAATGTGTCTAATAAATTCACGATAAGATTTTGGACTTTCATTAATATTCTGGGAGATTTCCTTTGCAGGCAAGATATCCTCCTGCAAGCCCAACTCACGGCCCACATCAGAATAACTTTCAATGCAAGGCTCAGTTATTTTTAAAGATTTGAAGAACTCAACTACGGCTTTGAGAATAAGAAATATTTACTCATATTCTCGCAAATTGATCCTCTAGGCCATGTATTTGTGTCCAGCTATATCGTGTCTAGATAGGTTAGGTCATTTTATGTTAGTAATGAGGTAACTTGGAAATTTTTTCTCCTATTAAGCATTGTGGAGCTAGTACTACTCTAATTTGGTAAAAATATGAGGTCTTTGACATTTCACGCACCTCTCCGACAATAAGCCTAAGTCCTTGATGAGAGTACTTGATGCGCGCCACCTATTCACGGCTTGGAATGTATAAAGAAATAATAAAAGAAGATGTAAAAAGTTACACGATCCGATTTGCATATACCAGCATTATATACCCCATGACAAACTTACTGTTTACCTTTCTTCAGATTGTATGAAAATACTTTACAGTTTCGAATTTAAATCTGACACTCACCATCACCCTGCCAAAGCTGTTTGGCAATTTTCTTTAAAGATGTTTTTTTTTTTATTGCGATATTGAGCAACTAACTGATTTTCCATATACATCTTTACGTGAATCTTTTGTTTTTATTTTTATGATCTGAATGTAAAGACGTATATAAATCATTTTTAAATTTCATTTCATTTATGTACTTTCGTTTTGTTTGCAGGAACGTGCTCTGCATTATTTTGACACTGAAAATGATGACATAAATCTAACGGAAGGCATTTCGCTTGTGAAAACAGACGAGATACCAGTTGGTCGCTCCCTTAACGATGTTAACCTTCCTGAGGAGGCCGAAGCACGCGAAAACGAAATTGATACATTGTTGGTTGAACGTATTGCACGTTTCTTTGGTACACATACTCTGCAGTTCAAAGTGCCCAAAGAATCGATACAAGATATGCAACGTGCTTTGGAAGAATGTAAGTTAGAAAACATAAAAAAAAAATATAAAAAAAACCATAAAAGAAATAAATCAAAATTACTTGAAGCCATACAATAGCGTGCGCAATGTCCCATTCTGCAATCTTGTACGAATTGCAAAATAAAGTGCGGATATAGGTTACTCATTGCACCGACTCCGCTATATATATTGCTATCAATTTACTATTGTTAAGCCAGAAGAAAGAGTTAGAGAGAAAGAGATAATCAACGTAAAAGAATCCTGTTTCTTATGCTATTCCCAATCATTTGAGGTCAGCGATCAGTTGTATATGTGAAAAAAAGTAGACAAACAGGCAAAGAGATGGTTCAATAACCACTCACTCACTATTCTTTTCTCCAATTTTCTCTTAAACTCTCAATCATGACTTTATTTATTTGAAAGTTTTTAATAATAACTTCATTTTATATACATTTATGATCCGTTGAGCTTTCAACTTGACATCAACATACGCTATTGTTACGACAAGAAAAACTGCACTGAGAACACTTCTGCATCTTCGCACTTACATCAGAGCATACGAAAAACCCTTCGAATCTCCACATTTTTCATTAACGCGATGTTCTAAATCGATTTAGTCTCTTCCAGCTGCTTTTTCACATACCCCTCGTACGAATAAATTTAGATCAGTTTAAGAAAGTTTCATGAGTAAAAAAAATCTTATTATTGTCAGGTTATGTTTTTGATTATTTGAAGATCATCGCTACCTTATTTTTATGTCTGCTAGCGAACATTGACATTTTTTTCGTTTTTAGCTAATCGTCGTCTGTCATGTTAGTAGTTGGTTGCCATTCTGTCTGTAACGCTCAGCAGTGCAGACACGAAAGCCCTCTTAAAATGTGGTATAAACGCGTGAATTGAGTTCCAAGCATTAAATTTGGCAATGCGTACACATGCCTCATAAGCCCGGTCTAAGACACAATAAAAAAAAAAAGCCAAAGGTTCGAAGGTTGATGCACCAGTGAATATCAAACCTTGATTGTAGGACCCATGTAGCTTTCTATGAGATGAAGACAAGCATTCCGAGTCATTCAAATCTATTAAATAATATATTTACATTTCCCTTTGGTAACTATTCTCCACTAACACGCATGGATTGTATGTTGGTTTTATGTAACGTTGAATATTTTTAAAGAGCCAAAAGACCGATAAAAAAAAGAAAAAATCACATGTGAATAATGTGAGCGCCAGTGGACCAGTTTTATATTCTACGCAATATCTAAGCCTAACCTAACCTAAAAAAACCTTTTGATGAGGCTTACAAGGAATACAAGCAAAAATTTTATGTAAAAGGGCTTAGCAAGAAAACGCGAAAATAACATAAAAGGATAAAAAAGAAGTAAAGAAATTATATTCGGTTGCGGCTCATGCTTGCACACCCATCACCTTTAGCTTAACTTAACACTCGAAAAAAATAAAGTTTCGCCGCCCGACTTTTCCCATTCTCTTGCTGACTGTAACTAATGACCAAAAAGCCCATTCTTTCTTCTTTAATTTTGAAAACAGAGGCGAGCGAGTTGTTTGTTGATGGACAGACGGACAAACGGACGGACACATTTAAATCGATTTAAAATTTAATGCTGATTAACTAACTTTATCGGATCTCTCAAGCCTTTTTCTGGGTGTTGCAAACGTTTTGTCAAAAAGAATACGGCCTCCACTCTTCGGTGGGGGATATAAACCGAAACTTGGTGAAACTGTTGCAATAAGTAGAGACATCTCCTAAAGGCACGCAGGCAGACACAAAATGGATGATCATAAAGGATGGCATCGTATATAGCCCAGGATAGAGATTACTTTGAAAAAGTTCGATCTAAAGTGAAACTGTTACCTCTTTGTTAGTGCAGGTTTTGAGATTTTGTAGCTAATTTTTGAACAAAAGTAAAATGAACTGAAAGGATCTGAACAAGTTCACAACATCCAATCCATGGATCGCTTTAGCTGATTATCGGATGTTTACTGACGAAAGAAGGACGTTTAGAATCCAGCCAGACAACGTACGCATAGACAATGAAATGTGACTAAGTCGCTTCCGTTAAGCGTTCCACTCAAGAGTGCATTGGCTTTTTGAAGCATATTTCTATACTAGCCAAGCATTCATTTGTATGTAGCAAACTGTCGTCGTGCAATAGTTATGAGCGAAATTTTTAAGCAAAAATAAATTAAACGGAAATAAGGCTTAAAAAGAAATTGGCCATAAAATTAAAGCATGTGAAGACTTTTAAAAAGAAATACCATAGAGATACGGTGTTGGGTATATACGCACCAACACCTTAAGACTTTGACACAGATAACATTTCCACGTCGTAAAATTAAAAAAAAAAAAAAAATGTAAAATTTATAAAGCGTGCGATAAATATAAATTAATTGAAGCGGTCTCTAAGCATGTTTAACACGATACCCATATGCTGGCACACATACACGCAGAAACGAAAAACAAATTGAAATAGAAATGAAAAGCTTTCTATTGAAAAATTGTGGTTAAGACGACTGACTAAAAAGTGTGTCATACGAAACTCGTAAAGCATGTTCAAAACTGGGCGGTGGGGAAATTTCTAAAACCAGACACATAATCTAAAGTAAATAAAAAAAAATAAGAAGGATGTGCTTAGCTAACATTGTTGTATTGTTTTCAATGTTATTGTCGCGCGCATCTTACAATTTTAATTAATACTAATGATGTACGTTTCAATACGAAGGCGAAAAAGTAATACCAGAAAAACTTTCTCTTTCCGATGAAGGAGGCCAAAGAGAAATTGCGGAGAAATCACTTCGTTTTCGTTTTCATTTTCATTAGAAATATTTGAAGGTCTATCAACCACAATTTTTTTTTTTTTTTTTTTTTGTTTTTTGATTGTCTCTTTCATCTATTTCCAGCTCGCGGCAAGAAGAAAGAAAAGAAAAAATATTTGTTGCCTTTATTGCTGCTCTTCAAATTGAAATTGGCTGCTCTGCTGCCTTTGGCCATAGGGTTCTTGGCTCTATTATCGTTTAAGGCGCTTGTGGTTGGCAAAATCGCTCTACTGCTGGCCAGTATTATTGGTTTGAAAAAACTATTTGAATCGAAGAAGGAGAACTACGAAGTCGTCGCTCATCCGCACTATTCGCATGAGGATCACAGTTATGCGCGCGCTTTACGTGAAGCCCACGATCTCGCCTATAACGCGTACAAACGATAGATTGCCAACGGAATGCCGAGCTGAAGTGAATTGAGTTTCGCAAGTATTCAATGCATAGAAATTAAGAGCCTCTGCGAGTGCAATACTTTTCCGCTAAATTAATTCTTCATCTATTTATTTATTTATTTATTTATTTAGTTTAATTTTTAGTGAAAAACATCTACGCATTTAAAAAAAAAAGAAACACAAAATAATTAATTTAATAAAATAATTACAAAGCCATGTTATTTTTTTAAAATAAAACTTAAAATTCGGCTCGATTAGCATTTAAGCGTTAAGCGTTCAACACACATTCAGTCTCCAATTAGTTCTTTCATCACTTCATTGAACTTTTACTACCTTCTAGTTTTTATTCTTTTAAGAAAGCTTTATTTATATAACGAAATATGCGAGATATTCTGCATTCTATGCGTTAAGTACAAAGACAATTATTTTTTTCCGTTCAATGTTCTCTTTTTTTTTTCATTTACTCTCTCTCTCTCTCTCTCTCTCTCCTATCCAAACTATCCATCCTTATAAGAGGTTATCTGTGTGACTTCTTTAACTTATATATCTAGAATCAACGTTCAATTGTTCTTAACTCATTAGAAATTATCAAAATTAATTAATACTTTTGTAAAAATTGAAAAAATTTAATAAAAGATTTCTTTCATAAAACAAATATGTACATATATATATATATATATATATATATAGGAAAAGAAAATAGATATTTATTTCCTCCTTTAGACCTTTAGTAGCCTCTTGCTGACTTGCAATATTTAATAGTACTTTGCAGGTCATATGGAGCAAACTATTCCTATTGCCAAATAGAAATACAGATAATGGAGATCGCCATACCTCGTGCAACTGCTTCCTGACAAATTAAATGTACGGTTTCTCAAATCGAAAGCGAACTTAAGAAGGGAATGAACGACAAGTTCGGTAACAAAGTAACCACCGCCAAGACGACAGCGAAGCGACGTATGTGTAACTCAAGCAACCTGACCACTATCTACATCTCTATCACGTACAGTTCACTTTTTAGTTGGTATTGTCTGCGCATGGCTGCATTCCTGCCGACTCGAATAAGACAGTTATCAGCCAAAGCCCGTGAAACACGTGCTGTTCGATTGTTAACTTCTAGTCTGCCCCTCTCACGTCAAAAGACGCAGCGAAAATGCGATTTCTTTATGGAAGATATACTAGTATATAAGAGTTCGACATTTACCATCGGATCAGTTTCGCCTTGACATGTATGCCCATCCTACCTGACCATCACTAACCGTTCAGTAAGTAAAAGGTAGTTCACCCGGCTTCGAATAACATAAAACCAGGACGAATTGCTTACTGTAGAGACGGACAAATATGAAAGCCAGCGGAGGTAAAGAACCCCTCAACCGGAAATAAGAACGAATTTATCCCGAGAAAACCTTGACCGACATAACAATTCTATTTCAAAAATTAAACTCACTTTGGCAAGCAACACAACAACTTTTTTAAAATTGTAAAGCTTAACAAATAGCGGTGCATAGTTCAAGCCTTGGGATACAGAACCGAAAATCGGTATCGGAGAGTATTTAGGCTGCGTTTAACTAACATCCGCTTCATATGTTCATTTTGAGCGCAGGCACAGAGGCTTATCATATATGCTAAGAAAGTTTCTGAAGTTTTCCGTTCCTCTTGAAATTCTCCTTTCAGAGAATGATAGGCGAAGTAACTCCATGTCCGGTCTATGAAATTGATCTAGCGCATCCTACTTGTAGACTATCCTTCATCTTAACTTCTGCTACAAATACAAGTAAATACACACAAGAAGTCCTTAGCCTTCGATGATTGGCATAAAAATGCCTCCTAATTGTAAAAGCTAAACGAATAATAGACTTTTTTCTTTTACTCATTCATCTTTGCTAAACATGAATTTAATAAAATAAACGTCCATCCGTGCATCCATGCATTGTGCTGATTGCGTTTTGATTTTTTTTTTTTTTTCTTTTTCTTATTTTTTCGTTCACCAACGAAAAAGTTCAAATTTTCTTTAAACGGTTTGCAAGAAAAAATAGCATCTAGTCACACAAGATTGCGCGCCTATTTATGCCAGTCAGTATTGTTTACGTTCAAGAAAGTTTTTCTTATTTACAGACACGCACATGATATAAAACGCCACCGCAAATAACTGCATCGTTGTGAGTAAAATGTTCACCGCACACAAAAATATGGATAAACATCTGGCCACAAAACTTAACATATCTTCTCTCAAAAAAAAAAAAAAAAAAAAAAAAAAAAAAAAAAAAAAAAAAAAAAAACCTGAAGATCGCTACTTAATCAGCCTTCTTATAATATATTATACTTGAAAAACGAATGAAAGTAACGAGAGTGACCTCCTTTTCCACAAAGAGTTCAACAAACATATGCTCACCCGTAAGCAATCAACAAGACTGGTGCACGGCTAATGCTGACAAAGTCGATATAACCGCAGCACAACACACAGACCTCTGACTCTATCAATATTTATGATGACAGACCCCGTGCATGCGATATGAAGTAAGTTTTAAGTCGAAAGACAGCAACATTTATATATATGATATAAATGTTCATACATACATATATAACTGTCTTTACAACTAATGCGCAGCATTTACTTTATATAAGACAAGGTTAGGATTTTTAAAACGCTCGGAGCTTACATTCCAATTCCTTTCAGTTTTCTAGCCATCGAGGATACATGGGACCGTATATTCGTTCTATAGCGAGCCAATGCTTCAAATTTTCATACAAAAAAAAAAAACGCACGGCGTTTTGATAGCTTTAAAATGTATTGGCTATGACGTATAACTTCACTTTTCGATTTTTAATATTTTCTGGTGTAACCATCTGTCGCCATAACATTTTGCCACCAAATACAGAGTTTAAGATCATAAGGAAATGATATGAAATGATATGGCTTTCATTTATTGATAATATTGGGCCTCTTTTAGATTCGACATCTCTGTGTGTAATTTGCAAGCATTCAAGTCAAACAATGAAAATGAAAGCACTACGGCACTACGGGAATGTTCGTTGGCTATGCTACGTACGTGCAACGTAAACAATTATTCAGCTGTTGAACTTTGTGTATTTGCGATGAACTATTGTGCACCCACACAACAGAAAACAGAAATCATTACTACAAGAGCAAACCACAAAATAACTTGAATACATGTGAGGAGCCAGGAATCTGAAATATTAACCAAGAAGAGACAACATTTACGCAAACGTTTATATAATCAAAACTCCCAATCAACTAGATATTGTTCTATATGCACATTTATGATCTTTTTCTGATTGCAGACAGTCCTTTTGAATATAAGTTTATCATGAGGAAGAAGAACAAAACCATTCATAGTTTTCTGTTGAAAACAATTTTTCACATATAGCTGCACGATACGGTTACATTTTACCAAGCATTTCAACCCACAAACATGGTCACTTTAAGTTTGCCTTACGGAAAACTTTAAGAAAACTTTCATCCTAAAAGCATACACCGCCTGATGTATTATGTTATAGCCGTAGCAGCAGGGTGAACTAACAATAATAATAAAATTATTTTAGTATCTGGAAAACAACTTCATATCAAAGATCCCGTTACATTACTTATTGAAAATTTTTTGTTAATGTTAGCATAAAATGGAAAGGGATCGTCTTTCTTATTACTGTCATGACTTTAACTTGGAGAGCAAACGACATAAACAACAAGGTTAGAAAATTTAGTTATTATATCGCTTCCGTTTTTACTGTTGGGAATTTCTCTTATACGTTGGAAAACTGCCCTTTTTTATTTTATACCTTATTGCTTCTCTGTTACATACCTTTAGGCGTTATAAATAAGAAAAAGGGACCAATTGCAGGTTAGAAGTTAGTTTGGCTGCTCAAAATCATGTTGAATACTCTGTGAGCGAAATCATCAGAAAAAAGTTTTTTGGAGATTTCTCTGGAAATTCCATATTGCTGTGATAATAAAAGACTAGAAACACCTATGCGTAGCTCTTGTGGAGTGTGCGTGGGGAGAGATTGGATAACTTGAAGGACAGAGAGGCTTTCTCACAATTTTTTAGAATCGGTAATGGGACACAAATCTTCGGTAATGAGCCTCTGATCCGAAATGATTCCTAATTATCTTAATGACTTGCCGTCCATCACTAGATGTACAGCAGTGTAGGCTTCCGGTCCTATTTGGACCTGCTTGTTACAATTACGCAAAATGTGCATTCGGACCGCGCTTCAAATCTTTAGTGCGATAGAGTTTTCAGTAAAGCAAAGGGTAAGAGAGAAGCAAGAAAGACAATGCACTTGACGGACAAATTCATCGGCTCTACTAACCGTAAAACACGTGCCTGAAACGAATGTGTTAAGCTTAAGGGAGACTACGTCCATTTTGTATCATTAGTCGACTCATCCATAAAATTTGCATATAAAATGGTTTACATTATAAAAAAGCTTTTGAATCAATAATGGTCCGACATTAGCGACCTGAAAACTGAAGAATTGAAAATCTCAATTTATTTTGTTAGATACTTCTCTTCAACTCTGGAGCTGGCATCATTCCTTATCTGAAAGCCTTAGTTGTTGTTCGTTGAGAATCGCAAAAGCTGTAGGAATCAATTGCACAATAAAATTAATTGTTAAAAGGACGAGAAAAGTTCGAAACCGATCAATAATTTTATTATATTGTTTTAATAATCTAAACTCTCTGCCAGAGATCCATGTGAAGATTCTTTCAAGTCTTTACACGATATATTTAGGACAAAAGAAGTTCGGCACATCTACCAAATGATCCACATGCCTTGATTTATCTTTTATTCATTTCCTTTCTCTTTCGCACATTTTGAAGAAGCCTTTTATTTATATCACATAGATTACAAATGAAAGTGTAACTGTATTTTATCTTGAGCGACTTTACAAAACACTATCTTTTTGCTAAAATGCAATCCAGGATGCATAGCATATTGTAGTAGACATAAAGGCAAGCAGACTTGAAGAAGTAAATAAAAAAGTAGTAGCACTAGGGGACGGTAAGCAGCGCGAGGATCGGAAAATTGTATTCTCTTTTTTATACATAAATAAATTTATTATAAAAACTTAAGATCTAATTAATTTTAAATATAAACTAAAAACACAACAATTGAATTAATTGTTTGTTAAACATACTTAATTGTTTAAAATAAGGCATTCGTACAATACAAGAGAAGGAGAAACTAAGCAATTGAAGTGAAAATGCAGAAAGTGCTCTCAAAGTTGAAACACGCAACCCTATGTCTGTTTATTCATTAACAGCTTAAAGGCGATAAGAATGTAGGTAAACTGAAATAAAATCTAATGCTTGGGTTGATTGTTATTGATGAAATTGCATGCCATCAGATAGTCGTCAGCACTTTCACCAACCATCATCATCACTTTGAAAAGCCCACATTTTTTTATTTCTTTTCCATTGGTTTGCAATGCGGTTTCTCCGGGAAAGTTTGCCATTGAAATTTATGTACTATGCGTAGGTACCCAGGCATTGTAGGCCTTATCTTGCATCGCCATTTCATCGTCCATACTGCGATGATAAGATCCACTCTCATGTCCTCCTTCATATTCGCCCGTATGACTTGAAGAGTAAGTGTGACTTTGCGACACCTGAGGATGTTTGACAATCTCGTATGTGGTCTTTTCACCGCCATCAGAAGACACCAGCTTCTTCAAGCCAATTATGGCGCTAATTATTAAAGCTATTTTACCCACTATTAGAGCTTTGCCAGCCACTATGGCTATCGAATGGTAAGCCATTTTCAATATTGCTGTTTTCAGCAACACGGCTGCTATAAAAGGGCCTAAATATTTTTTATCGTCACCTTTCTTCTTGCGTCCTTCGCCAGTGTCATTAATTCGCTTTTCACTGTCGACGTTGGGTGAAACAAAATCCATGACCGATTGCAGCAACTCTTGCCCGTTACGCTTACCGAAGGCTAAGAGACGCGGCATATTTACTTGCAGCTGCCGAGAACGCAGGAAACTGCAGAAGCGTTCAAGCAAAAGAGAATCCAAACTTTTCATGGATAGGTTTTCCAAATCACGATTTGTTAAATTTATATCATTTGCGCTAGCGCGCCCGTTACGAGTCTCGTTATCCACCTTCTTCACTAAACTCACGCCGTCGACGATGTTGATATTTTGAAATTTTAAAGCTCGCCCCAGCAGGCGAGCACCTTGTAACTTGAAGCACCACACAACATTGTTGCGGTCAAGGCAGTGGCTTACTATACGATGGACCGTACGCGTGAGGCTGTTGTCGCCTGAGAAACTACGTCCATTTAAACGGGTCCCGGACTCAAATGACAACACTGTTGGGGCCACGATCAATAATATGAACTTGAACAGCAATAACTTTCGATTATGACCCATTTTGGATGAGTGGGAATTATAAAGTGCGGCTTATTAAAATCCCTGAAAAGCTGCAATTGACTTTGCTATATCCTCCCCAAGCTGCACACTTTTCTTTTTGGCATTAGTTTTAATATCCACAACAACTATTTTATCTGTTAACCGTAGTGTTAAATTAACAAACTGCAACTGATCTTCTTGCGTAGTGCGGTGCACAAATTTATAGATATGATCACGTTAATTGGCATCGAATGGAAACTCACTGCATTGTAATGCAACCGAAAATTGTATCTCATTCTAGATCTGTTGAAATATTTAAACAATTAAAGTGCTTCGTCTTTTTCTTCTTCTTACTTTTTTTTTTCATTTTTTCTTCATTTATATCTACACCTATGTAGTTTGTTTTTGCTACTTTCTGCTAGTCTCTAAACGCTGGCTGATTATTCAGAGCATGCCAAATCATTTGAAGTCGGCTAAGTTTACTTTTCTCCTAAACGAATTTTTCTTTTCATCTCAATTTAATAATAAAAAAAATATTTTCTCTAGAAAATCTATGTTTTAAGTCCAGTAACTATATAGGCTTATGTTTTAAACATTTTGTTGATTTTTTCCTTATTTTATATATAGTCATAGTGATAAAAAGAAAAAAACAAAACAAAAAATAATCCACTGCAAACACTTTCATATTTCAGACGCACCCAATCTTCTCTTACTGCGTAGCAATTAAGTAATTACGAATAATTTAACAAAAGTTTATTAGCAATCCAAGTGAATAACATAAAAAATAAATATATATATATATATATATATATATATATATTTGTATTAATTGTTAGGTGATTCCTCTATTTGTAAACGCCAACAAAGAACAATCGTTTGCTGGTAAGTTATAAGCTGCTGACACTTCAATACAATTGATTTTTATTTGAAGATTTGATTCAATTCAAGCATTCTCACATGTACATTTCAGCATGACCTTCAATTTTCGATATAATCCTGTTTTGCTTAGCGAAACTTGCAAATAACACGGAATGTATAGATATGATGCGAAGGATACGGAAACCATATTATGCAGTAGTAAGGCGGAGTATATAGTCATCGCTTTTAGTTTCGATAATTGCCGCCAAAAACGCTGTATGGAAATGTTAATCGAAGTATGGACGCACGCAATCCATAATTTCTTCCTTTCGCGAACAAGACACGATTCCATTTACCCACACTTGAATGAAAAGGTCTTCCCATATATCAAATTGTAATTCGCCTCGAGGTTATGGGACTTGTGAGAGCCGTAACAAGGAGCTAACATTTGCTTACAATCAAGGGTAAAATATGGTTCGTATGTTTGAGCATGAATTCATGTATTGAGCTATTCTCCGTCCAAGGACTTTCCGTCTAACCTGAATTACTTCACCTTGTTTTAGACATAATTCTATTTTAAGCCTTTCACTCAGTTAAAAGTATTCACTTAGTTCATAATTCATATCGAGAACTCGTTGACGTCGATATCTTAAATTCTTTTCCCAAACTCCACCACAACTCCTCCCCCTATTAGTGGCGATAAAATCAAAACCCTAATAAAGGCGAACAGAAATCTTCTATTCTTCATTCACATCTCTCCAGCTCTATGCAAATGCTTTCTCGAAATACGCCGCGTTCTTAAGATCTTGTTGATTTCTTTCGTTACGTAAATATTTTAACGAAAACCTCAGTTGAGCGCAAGTAGTGTAAGCCCAAACTTACACATGCACGTTATCTGTTTAAATTTTCTTATTATTCATGTACCCGCTACAATGAAAAGAAATATAAATAAAATTCTCTCACACGATCACACGATCAAATTTAAATGTCAAAGGTCATTAGCAACAAATGTTTATAAGGCTAATTTAACTGTTAAGACAATGCACTTTTCTTTTATAAGAAAAAAAAAAATTGAAAAGTAAACGACATAAGTGGAATCGAAAGAGAAGCGTTTGTTGACTTTGATATCAAACTTATTAAAAAACGCTTTAAACATATTTATGAATGAAAGCCGACTTTCCACTAAACTCGCTTGTATAAAAGGTTTGGCGGGCTAATAATCTTGACATATTATGTAAAAGTGGTCTCTGTATAATTGTTGATGATGATCATAAGGCCAATCAGATAATGGCTCCGAAAATTCATTAGCTCACGTAGCCCACGATGTGAATTCAATTGAATTAACAAAGGCATTATACGTTTGTTTATAACTTGAAGTCATTTCGTGGCTTATCATTTACCAAAGCCACTAATGATGATTCCATTTTCAGAGTATAGCTATAAGAAAAATATCAAAAAGAAAACCAAAAAAAAAAAAAATGAAAAATAAGACGAAAATAGTTTTCGTACACTTTTCCTACACATGTATTTCTAACATGTATTGTATGCAACGTCGTCATGTTTTAAGTTTCTGACGAACACATTTCTCTCTGCAAACATCATATTTTAAGTTTTTTAGACAACTCTACCCTGCGGTTTTATACTCAAGCACGAGTTTCTGTGTTTGTTAATTAAATTATAATGTAATGTGTGCACACAAACCTCATCATTCCATTGGCGGCATTTAAATGTGAACTTTGCTCATGTGCCGCGATTCAGTACAACTACACCATGTTTTCATTTGCGAATGCCATTCAAATATGTCATAGAATCTATTGTAGTTTGCTTAGCTGGATGCACCAGAAAAGAGGAATTGTATTAGAAACTTATTCGGATAAGAGGGAACAAAGCAAAAATTTTCTACTTTATAGCCTTTGCATCCTATTTCTCTCATTTCTTTTTGCACTACGAAATAACGCAGTGGGTGCGGAGTATGAAAATGCAGTAGACTGTCAGACCGATGTACCATCATCCCCATCAATTTTAAAGTTGTTGTTTTTATCTGTCCTACGACGAGGACCCATTAGACTCGCCCTTTCCATGGATAGCACGCAGATGGGCAGGTACTCACAGCAGCTCCATTAAAAACATTATCTTAATTAACATGAAATTCTGCGGCATATGTTTATCAGGCCCATTCAAAAGTATAACCAGAATCTGTGATTATCACATGTAGAACAGAGTGAACTATCTGTCCAAGAAGGCAGCTAACGACTCGTAAGCAACAACATTCGAAAGCTTTTATTAGAAATAAAATTTAAATTTGTTGCGCTACCAACAATATCGACCATCATGTCAGGTCGCAGTGTTTTACCCAAAGCGCATTGCGTGAAGCGTAGCATCGTCTTGTTAAAAGCAAATCTTTTCCACATTAAACTCAACCAATTTCGTGTTTTATTGTCCAAATTAACAAATAACCAAAATAACAATGGATTCTCTACCATTCCTGCGTACAGATCACACATAGCTTTGAAGGTTTGCAGCTTTACAAGTAAATTATGGCTTTATTAGTACGGTCATTACTGCCAATAGCTTGGTTGATGTGGCACATGTGTCTTGAGAAAATGAATCATTATCAAAGCAGAAAATCAAGATGGTCTTATCATGCATGCATTCAGAATTCGTGCTAAAGTGAATACAATTTTACTTCTCGTCATTAATAACATACATCTATGTAATCTGATGCGCTGCTTTTATTGTTTACTTAGGCATCATAAATTTGGCAGCACCTATTGCGAATATGCTAAGCATGTCGTCCAATTTGTAGCACCACCCTATTAAGCGTTCGTGGCCAACGTGATCGCATTTGTCCTTAGCTTTCGTGCATTCACGGAAACATTTTTAATAACAACGCATATGAAATTTAATAAAATGTCTTACCCGGAGCAAGTAATTGTTAATTGCATAATCGTCTATGCTGCATACATATATATATATGCCGTAGGGGATCCATTTACTCAATAATATGAATTTCTTTACTTTCTTTAGGAAATTTATTTAAAAGCATAACAAAAAAATTCGACCCAAACTGATTTCTTTGCTTCGTTTGCTTTCCTTCATGCCAGCAACTTCAGCCGTATCTCAATAACCACAACAATGAAATTTCGCTACGTTGAACAATACCAAATTTTACATTTTTGAAGGTTAAGGCTTTCAGCTCAGAAAGCAATTTTCATGATTTCACTTTCGTTGTACGAACAAAATGGAAGAGAGTAAGAGCACGAAATATTGCAGCGATGGTGCAGCAGGATAAAGAAACGTGACGTACGTTATTGATAGGAACAATGACATTGAAAATGACGTTGATCTTAAAGTGTTGTGTTGTTTTTGGTGTACACCAAGTGAAAGCCCATTATGTTGTGATTAAATTTCTATGCCAATTCAGTTATCTGTTGTTGTCGTCACTATTGAAAGTAAGAGTTTACTAATCTTCTGTTAAAATGTGCGTCGGCCATTCCGTCAAAATGTGAGATCTGACAATCGAAATGCACCCTTTCAAAAAGAAATGTGAGAGGTGAAAATGTTGTGAAAAATGTTACATACATGCAAGAGAATAGTGCTCTTACTAATTATTATATTAAAAATATTAAATATATTTATATGTAATATACCCTCCAAAGCTAAGTTAGTTTGCCGCCAAGGTATCTAGAATCTGTAAATGTGGAGACACATTTAAGTTAAAGTCTCTGAAAGCATGCAGCATATGTATGGTAGGGATGTTTGTTAGATTTCAACACAAATATATTCATACATTCATTCCTATCATTCCTATAGAAAGTGAAATTATATGTATATGTGTGTGGCGTCATCATTAATTGTCGGTTACAATTTGACATTTATATTCTGAGTTGGCGACTACAGGTTGAGTTTCATAATAAGATTGATCGTCTCGCAAGCCTCTCCACAAACTACAGCTTACAATCTCCAGCAAAACTAAAAATTGTTCCAATCTACCATCAAATATGCCTGCAATCAACCGAATATTTAAAAACCCTAAGTATTCATCATCTTTCTCCATTTACAAGGTAACGGCAATAGATCTATGTACATACACTCTTGATCTGTTGAAAATTCTAACGTGACTTATGTGTTGGTGTAATTCTCGGAACTACAAGAACTCATATAGAAGGCTGATTAGCAAAAGCTTAGAACATACGCTTATATTCACGGATCCAACTTGAAATTAAGTAAAGAGTGTCATAAGTGTTACGTTATGCAGTCCACAAGCCACGTTCATAGCTAGACAGTGAGTAACAAAGATTCGCCCTAAGTTTTACTATCTCAAATCTCGCTGAAGAGCAAAATAAGAGAAAGAGAGAGAATGAGAATAAAGTATTGCAGGTTTACTGTCTCGAAGTTACTGTAAATAATTTACCGGTCTCCGTAAGTATTATTAGCTACCGTAACAGTGCTACCTTAGAAGTGTTCTGGAAAAACCATAACAATCTATGATTTACAACTCATAGCTCATACGCTACTTATTGCATATAAGTATATCGATGTGTACGGAGACGTTAGGCATTTATCTTTTTGAAACTACTGCTATTCTGGCCACTGTACTTTACTTGAGCATCTATCAAGGTTTAAAGCATCATCTCTAGACTATATGTACGTACACACACACACACACACACACACGTGCAACAGCAGTTTTAAAATATGTAGAATGAAATTTTCACATATTTTCTCTTATGCTGTTCGTTACTTCTACTGACGTTCACTGCTTTTAATTTTACGCTTTTCAACTATGTGCGGTTTGCAATCTTCACTTTTTTTTTTTCTTTTTTTCGTGAAGCATTGAAAAAATTCATTGCCATTAACTTTAATAAATTTACCACATTTTTCTCAGATAATTTATTTCATTTTACCAAAAAAATAAATAAAACAAAGAAAAACAAAATATATTAAAAACTTTCCTTTTTATAAATAGTTGTAAATTTTTACCAAAGCGTATAGTAAAACTTTTTTTAATTGAGATACTCATAACAACGAGACGACGACGTATGAGTTTTCCCATATAAAGGAGAAAAAAGAAGAAAACAGAAGCCCTTATAAAAACTAAAGAAAAATGTAGAGAAGACATAAAGATGTATACAAGCGCTGATAGATTAGTACAAGGACAAATGGCTTTCGGGTGCCATGCACACGTTCGCTAATTTCCTCATGCCTGTCTCGCTCAATCATGGCATTGCAAAACGGCAGACGGCGGGCAGACAGACTCATCATCTGATATTATTTCAAATCTCAATTATATGCTTGCACTCACTCCCATCATTACTAACGCACATCTAGAGAAGAAAATATAAATTTTTTTCCTTCAAGTAAGAACGGAGCAAAGCGTGCTTTACGTTGTGCGAAATATGTTTTAATTTTGTAATTTTTCTTCTTTTTTTAAGGCGTTATATATAGATTATATAATATATTATTTCTTCAGATCCCCGTGTCCCCTCTGAGTTAGTTGGCGAAATTTGAATTTGAAATACAATCAATTTATTCATGTTGAGATTATTTAACTGAGCTAGTAAAGCACCAGCCTTGAAGTGCCAGCACGAAATCATGAGTACAGGAATCTTTTTCTCCCCTCTAGGGAAAGTCTATCTCACAAAAACGCTTACTACGAAACTCGCTTATGAGAAGGGAAGGAACTGCAAAAGAAACATCTCGGGACACCGTGACACGCATGGATTCACGATCAGGGATTAATCGACGCTGCTTCCAAGTCCATAATTCTCTAATTATGCTATTCGTCCCGCGCCATACAATACCACGGGATCGAAATTTATAAAAAAAAGTCTTCATTAAGAAGCAAAAATTCCGATCGTCGAAAGGCTTTCTGATATCTTGGACATAACCAACTTATGGGAATATGAAAACATATGCATTTCTCCGTGGTGACATAAATTTTTTTACCCCCGTACGAAACATACCAACATTTATAAATTTAATTTATAAAATGCAAAAAACTTTACAAACAAAAATAATAAAACGCACAATAAGCGACAAGTCAGCATCAGCTACTAGGGTCAGCTGAGCACCTCAACTTGGTTAAACATAACAACAACAATCAGAGGCGAGCAATTACAATATCAAAAGCAGATAATTTATTAAATAAGGATAAGACAATGTATAGAGATCACTGGGCAATTACGATGTTTCAGGACCTTCATCGTGATAAGTAACACAAACGTCTCTGCTTTGAAAAGAATTTTTAAAACTCACTCCCTACACAAGTTGATGGGAAGGAAGCTGCGGAGAATTAAACTCCTGGAGAATGAATGTCGATGTGGGATGTCTGATTTGCACGCTGCGCACATATGAACGTACATACAAATCAACTTTTAACATGATATTCATATTCACTACACATAGCTTTTACACCCTTGTTTTACTTAAAATCTTATTCAAATGCAACGACTAAACTATGAAGTGTTTTAAGCGGATTTTCTTGTTTTTTGGTGAAAAGCCAGTTGCGTTAGTCCTAAATAATCTCTCTCTTTCTCATGCCCTGCTGCTTTTTCTCGCTGCTTACTTAATTTAACATTGAAAAAATCCAATCCATGTTTTCAATATTTTTTAAAAGATTGAAGCAAAAAAAATATTACCTCCAATGAAATAAAAAAATTCGTTGCAGCTTTGACAAAAAACGTCAAATACACATGTATGGGAAAAAGGCGAAAAAGTAAATAACCCTGAACGAACATCGCTTTCAACTTCTAAAGTCTAAACAAACAATTTCAGTCAATTACATCGTTGGAAAGTTGTAAACACAAACAACATACTATCACTTAATTGGATAATGGTCCATAAAAAGTTTTTATTCAAATTTTTTTATCTCATATTTATAAGTAAAAAAAAAAAACAACAACTTTGAAAGGTTTTTTTTACCTTGAAAACAAGTCAAAAGCGCAAAATGTTAAAATCAACTAACTACGCGACTTACACTAGATACTGTCGTAATAAGTAATGCACATCCCAAGCAGCAATGTCCACGTAGACGACAACAGCCCTTCGTAAGCTGTTAACAGAACGTTAAGCCGGACGGTGCCCAGAAATCACGTTATTCTTCCAAACGACCTTAAACAAGAGCTTAGATACCCCGATAATACTTGCAGAAGTCAAATCTGGTTATTAACTCTCAATAGGCTGGGGATTCGTGGACAAACTTTAGCACATGCACAAGTGTGCAGCTTGTCAACCTGACGCGGGTGATATTTGCGAAACTTGCATAATAATAACACTTGCAAGCTTTATACAAAGTGAATGACAAAATTAACATACCCCCAGATTGTGTATGAAAAGTTGATGTAGTACTAGTTGAATGACTGACTACCTTACTATTTGATTTTGCCAAATGTCGTTAGGATAGCAAAGAAGCAAGCCAGCAGAGTACACAACATGTACAGCACCTTTGACAAGCAGCCACATTCATAATAATCAACAAGTTGCCAATGAAACAAGCGCAACAACATATCCATCAAGCATATCCAACATATCCAAGTATGAAAGAGCATCTTTTGCAACATAATACGGTTGGATAGAGAACGTATATTAAACATTATGAAAATAAAAGACGGCCTTAAACTTGTGAAGAAGATACTGCGAAAATCCGCAGATGAATCTATAAAAGAATTACATTAAAGTTGAATAAACTGCAGTCGAACACAATAGCTACACGTAATCGCACATGCGATAAAAGTATTTAATATATAATTGAAACGATAAACGGTGTGCAAGTGCATTAAATTAAATCAAAAACATATATATATATATATATATATATTTGTATATAGGCGATTTTGATTAACTTTACGTAACCAAAGGATTAATAAATTTTTATATAAATTCAGTACAAAATATCGCAAATAAAGAGAAGAAAGATAATTTCATGCATTATAAGGAAAGTGTAAAATAATAAAGAAAAATGCTTAAGAAAAAGCCATTTCCCAACAAAACGCCACAATTCTGTTTAATCGGTGTTTTCCTAATATCTTGGTGTCTACCGAATGCTCGAGCTATTATCGGCAATAAAACCACATTAACTTCCGCCTCACCATCAGCCTCATCTGCAAATGCAAAAATTCGTACTGTTCTACGTCTATACGATGATTGCACACAGGCCACAGACGGCATTGTTGCGTGCCTTAAAAGAAAGGCTATATCCTTTCTTGAACGTATTTATAATGTCGATGTATTGACAATAGCTGACGGTGTGAAATTTGTCCGGCTACCTACAGCAAAAGCATTACGTTCAGCATTCAATGAAAATGACTTCAACTCCTCATTATCGCGATCGTCAAGAGATCGCGATTGGAAATTAACGCAAATGTTGATGGACCGTTTACGATATTATTTTGAAGGTCATTCGTTGCAAGTCAAGTTACCGCCACTCACAACAACACAAGTTAGTCGGGGATTAGAGGAAGGTAAGTGAAAAACAAGCAAGTCATATACACCTCGGACGTGTTTGTTGGGGGGGGGAACCAAACACGTAATTACGTAATAAGGAATGATATCTCGGACTAAATTTCCATTAGACAAGTTTCCTAAACGAAAGTGCTCGATATATATAAATTTACCAATCATATTGCGCGTATGTGTATGTGGTCACCTATATTGTTTGTACAACTTTAGCTAATTATAAGGATAGGAAATTATACTCGGCCATGCTCGCCTATTTTTCTAACCACCGGCGTTGCAAACATATCCATCAAATGAATGTACGTCCATCCCTCAGTGGCCGACCTGAAGAGCTCTGCCCAATAAAGGCGATGGCTCTAACCCTTGGACATAAAAAGTAGTGGAAGCCGTTGCTGTTAGGTTAATTAATTACTTTGCAAAAGGGCTTCTTTCCTGCGATTTCTGGCAAATCTCGAAAAATCTTTGCTTTTTTAGCAGTACCGGGCGCACTTCATCCCCCTTATGATTTAGAGGTCTTTTGGTTTTTTGTGTTTACCCAAGGCACTATGATTTACTACTTGTCTAGAAGTCATTTATTCGGAAATTAAAATAAAAATATTTCAACCTAACGTCGCTTTTACTTATCAAGGATTAATTATGAAATGTAAATCATATTTGCGAACGCAGGAGCATAGTGGGATAACAAGCGATCATATTATCTAACAGCTTACTTGCTTCCAACCCAACTGTTTTTAAAACCTACTCCAATGATAGTTCAAATATGATTTCAATATATCTTCATATTCAAAAAGCTGTTGTCCCTATGCAACGTTGTAATCACTGCAGCATCTCTAGCATGCGTTTAAAGTTTGCATCCAAATTTTTCGTTAAAATCACTTTTCCTCTTTGTCTGTCCTTCAATTTGATTAAGACGTAACTCGAATAAATAGCGTACAAGATTTTCTATGCTATCGATAGTTGTACAATGCATCATACAAATAATTTCAAGGAATACTCAAACATGTGAGTTATTGAAAATTTCCCCATTGAAGTCAAACTTATGATGAAATAAAAAGTAAAAAGTTAATTTAAATGCCAAGATTGAATTCAAGTGCACAATGAGAAACTTGGCAACTGCCCAAGTGTATATAGAACTCACACATCTATTGTCTTATGTTAATTCTGGGCGTATTTGGTACGAGAGTTTATCGAAGGCGCGAAGGCGAATTTCGGATTGCTTCAATCGCAGGTCGTTGTTCTTCTACGTGCTGGGCATAACCACACCTAAGTTCAACCAAAAGCATAGTTTGGCATAGTTTGGCATAGTTTTTCTTTTCACTTTTTACGAGTTTGCGAATCTCAGAATCTCTTATTATTTTTGCACGTGTGTGTTTGATATTATAAAATAAAACAAACACTCACTCGCTGCGAGCGGTCGCTACTTTACTAAACTGAGTTTAAGTAATTTTCAAATTTTCTTGCTTGATATCTAAGATCCATTAATGGTGGCACAAGAAAGCGAGGCCAGAGACCAAACAATAATAATAATAATAATAATAACAACAATAATACCATACAATGTACACAATAAAATGTACGTTGACACAGGGACAATCAAAATGCGGGGCAATAACACTTGGAAATGAAGAGAAAATGAAAAATTTCAAGTACATTTTTGTACAAATAATAAATAGAAACATTTTCCCAGTTGAAGTTAATTTATAATTATAGCGTAGTGCTCGTTATAGTTAATGCCATGTGAACGAATTGAATGCCATTCAAGTGATAATAACGTGAGCTAGAAAGTGAATTAAAACATATGCCACGGCTCAGAGATAAGTCTAAAATTCAAAAAAAAAAAAAAAAAAAAAAAAAAAAAAATAGAAAAACAATATTAATGTGTATGCGTGAGTTCATAACAAAAAAAATTAAGCGTGTACCTTATTAATTAAAAGTAAACATGAGATGAAATGATTGAAGCGACTTGTCTGAGCCATACATACATAATTATTTTAATGAAATGCAATGTTATTGCATTACATGATTACATACATGCGGACACATGCGAGTGTGTGCTCAATTAATGATGAGAATATTTTCTTTCCTATTTTACTTGTAGGTCGTGCTAAAATGAAGAAGATGATGAGCATGCTAATGATCGGCGTCGCCACAAAAATGATGAGCATGATACCGATTGCGATGGGAATGTTATACATTTTAGCCGGGAAGGCTTTGATTGTCTCTAAAATAGCTTTACTGCTCTCGGGTATAATGGTTATAAAGAAATTGATGTCCAGTAAAGGAGGTTCTTCCGGTGGAGGATCTTCAGGCGGCTGGCCATCGGGAAACGGTAATGGAGGTGGTGGCTATGGTTGGCCATCATCCGGCGGTGGCGGCGGTGGCGGTGGTGGCGGTTGGGATCGACGTTCCATTAATGAGGTAGCGGCCCAAGATATCGCTTATCGTAGCTACAGTCGACCATATCAAAGTCAACAAAAATCGCAGCAACTTAAGCAGCAGCAATTAAAACAAATGCAACATAAGCAGCAGAAGCCAAAAAAATAACTTTTAATGATCAGCTCTTAGACGCGCTATTTTCGATATGTAAAATAACAAGCAAAACTTGTTGTTCAACACTAAGTATTAAGTATTAATAACTAATTAGTTTACCTTTTAGATAATGTTTTATTATTTATTATTAAAAAAAGATCTAAGATTTAATTTATTTATTTTTTTAACTGTATATGATTTTTAATTTACGTTTACCATTTTCATTTTACTTTTTTGTGATTAAACATTAACGTTATTATGAATCAAAATGATTCGTATGAATCGAACCGATTCTTTTTTTCGATTCTTTTTCGATTCGCTTATATTGTTGAGATATGCACAAATTCGCCTAAAACTTCGTATAACTTAATGTCAATACAATCTATTGCAAGTAGATAGACATAACCCATAATCCATATTCATGCAAAGGCATATATATATATATATATGTGTTGTTACGTTTGTGTGCTTATATTAGGCTGTGTCACTTACGCAACAACGAAATGAACAAATTCTTCATAGGCGCTTCTTGTAAAGTTAATTATTTTACTATTTCTTCTCCTCTCTCTCACACTTTTCGTGGTACTTATATGTCACGTGCGCTTTTCATACATTCATTTACATATTTACATATTATTATTATGATTGTATTTGAATTTATATAAGTGTGCGTGTATATTCCTAGAAACATAATAATACCGTTTTTCCCCCATTGGCATCGCTTCATTTACTTTTACACGCTATTTTCGCACACAATTCTATTATTCTAGCATGAAAGCAATAGAAATTTTAACAAGAGCCGTTGTTTCCTATTTTCTTTTGCAATTTAGAATTTTTTTCTTTTCTCATTTACGTTTTTTTAATTAAACTTTACTGTTTTCAGTTCAAGAACAAATACTTTCTTGCATTTCTTCTTTTTTTTTTTTTTTTTTCTGTTGTTCTTTACAACAACAATATAAAATAAATATTGAAAATATCATATTATTTTATATTATCTTATTTAGTCGATATTGCAATCAATATGCACAAGAAAAGATCATAGAAGGACATTCAATCGTGCGAATAACCAAAATAGATCGCTCTGCCCGAATGTGTTGGTAGAAAAATGCTCCAAAATCTTTAAAGTCAAGACTAAAAGTTGATAATATATTATTAGAGACCTATGGGAATTTTTTTATGAATACCTTCTTCCTGTTGTTTGTCAAGCACAAAAGACATCCAAGTGTCTTCCAAATAATTCCAAAAGCAATAGGATGAGAATGTTTCATTATAATTTTTGTAGCCAATACCGACGGACGGACGCGTATGAATTTCTGACTTCTGACAAACTGTATAGCCAAACCAACTTACCCAAAAAAATAGTAGTAGGTTATCGATCCAAGTGACATTTAATTGATTTAATAAAATTCATTTATTTGATATTAGAAAAATATCTTGCTCTCTTACTCTCTACTAAGCGTTTTACAGGAAAAATCATCCACCGGTTTGTTTAAATTTATGACTAAAACTTAAATTTGTAACTAAACTTAACCAACCAATTAAAGTCCACATTTAAGACATATTTGATATTGAATGCTCCCGCTAAATATGCTTTAAAATTTATTGCTTAAATGTTTTCAGAAGAATCTAAAACGAATGCTTGGTGTTTTTTTTTTTAAATATTTACGGTTTGAAATTTAACCTTAAACTACAGCTGCATGTGCGCAAGTTTCAGTAAAACGCGAGGATGTAGATGCGAAGCTAAAGACAGAACTCACTTTCTCGCACATGCTATGCGGTTGCAGAAAGGCCGCATATTTATGGCTTAGGCTGCGAAGCAATCTATTCACTTCCTAACAACTAAGTTTATGAGCGCAATGACTTTATTTATTTGTCTGATTTTCATATTTTTCTTTTGGATTTTGTTGTGGAAATGTTGCCAGCGAAGTGCTCCATCTTGTATAAATAATAATTTTTGTAAATATGCTACAAAAAAGAAACAATTTTGAAAAATTTTCTTTATACAGTCATTTATATGCTGTTTCCGCGCGAAAGCTTAAAATACAAATTATAGGAAATAAAGATGACAGATATTCAGTTATATATCTAGATGCTTAGATAGATTAGCAATTTTGTAGCATTGTATTTGAATGAAACAGATACTTTATCTTATAGCTTCAGTTTCATTGTGTATGACGGATTTTTTTTTGCTTGTAAAAAGCACTTACATAATAGAAATCTGCATTAAGCTATTACAGAACAGTTATAAGGTTACCAACAATGATTTTTATGGAGCACTATCCTCTTCCAATGTAAACATAATTTTCGGTTGTTTGTCTCCTATGAAGAATTTCTTTATAATCAAGCAGAAATTGTAAGTTGCGGGCAATTGAAGTTGGCAAACATTTTCGTTTACCACGTCATTAAATGGTCTTTTCTTTAACAACAAAAAGTTTTCTTTATGTAAAGAAGTTTTGCTTTCAAAATTTCACAAACAAAAAAAAAACTTAATAAATAGAAAACTACTTTCCCTTAAAATTCAAAGCGTAAACCTTCACAAAATTAATATCAAGTCCGGCAGGCTTAATCCGCAATTTCAGCCAAACAAAGTACACACTAATCATAATAATATAATTTTTCGTCTTTTAGATTGTTAAACCGTGGCTTAAATTTATCATTCATTCGTTAGGCGTGTTAACCGCAACCACAAGAGATTTTACATACTTTTCAAAGATAAAAAAATATCTTGTATCACTTCCATTATGACTAATTTTCTAAGTTTATTTATATAGTTTGAAAAATCTTTGTTAACCATTCAGTCGGTGTTTTAAGATCTTTAAAAAAAGAACAAACAAAAAGGGAGCTTTGCATTTGCAGTAAAATAAAATATTTAAAAATATCTTAAGCACAAGTCTTAAACGTTGATAATGGCCATTACTTAAATAACCTATAGCTGCTTTATACGAATATTCGAAAAGGAAAATCTATATTGTGAAATGCAATAAAACACGGAAAGCAAAATTTAGCTCCGCCTTTCACTTCTCTGAAATTTGCAGTTCGTTTACATTTACAGCCTGCGACGGCGTTTTTTTTGAAGCAAAACCAAACATTAAGGTCACTTAACAACTGGCCTCACTAGCATCTTGGCAGTAAGAAAATTGTTAGAAATTTATTCAACCAGAAAAAAACAAATAATCAGATGAACATTGACAATCATTGAAATGATTTGGGAGGAAATCCAAAGAACAATTGTTAAGTGTTTTGAAATATTAACCACATCTTTGATACGACACAGAGGGTTGGCTACGTACAAAAGGGCAAAATAAATGTGGCTTTCTAAAAAAAAAAATAAAAAAAAAAAAAAATAAAAGAAAAATGAAAATTGTTTCTTTATGTAAAAGAATTGAAATAATGGCACAAAATAACATTCAACATACTTCTCTTTCATTACTGGTTCTGTTAAATGGCCATAAAGAAATTCTTTAAAAAGCCATTCAACCGTAAAAGAATAAAGGACAGAAAACATCTTATTAGCTAACGCTCACTACATACATATAAAGCCATTTCATAAAAACTGAAACGTTCATAGAAAACGTCGTTACTTGAATGCAAACACTTAACGGATAATGATCGACGGTCAGCCAATAGCAATAACAATCATCGTTCAACTGGAATTCGTGATATATTTTACTATAAAAGGAAATTTAGCCTGTTTCAAGGAGGAGGAGGACATGTTCAAGCGTTATATTCAAATCGCAATTAAATTAGTATGTGTGTGTTTGATGCTCAGAAACAATTTAGAAATTCCTGGAACATTTTCTCTTAATACGTACTCATCAAATATCCCAAGTGAAATAAAAATTTATGATAACAGAAGAGAAATTCCCCATCGATCAGCAAGAAATTCCCAAAGCAATAAAACTGAACATATTATTAAGCACACAAGGCAAACATATGAACAAGGAAAGCAGCATACAACCAAGACAACAACTAATGCCAATCATAACAAATTGTGGTTGTCCTCAACCGAAAGTATACAACGAGAATCCCTAAGGCGGGCACCGAAGGAGTTGAATTTTGCATATGTGCTAGAGCAACGTGGCAAAGGACAAAATTGCTGTGTTTATGAACATCTGCATAATGCCAGCATGAATGGGAAGTCATCGCTGTCAGGTGTAAAGAAAGTCGATAATAACTCTCACGATGTGAATATCAATAACTTGAGGTTAACTGAAACGGTTTTAGCCTTGCATCACGCTTTAGATAAAATAAGCAAATTCTGTGCATTTCTAAAGCAACTAATTGTCCAGAAAACCCATAGTCGTTTCAATGAAAGCGGCAGCATTAATGATGGTAAGCGAAACTAATAAGATAATCTATCACTTAACATCATGTGAACGAATACTCACAATTTATTACCGCTAGTAGAATAAACATGCATTTAGTAATAACTGTACCGTTATGTTGAAAAATATTTTCATTTATCTTATCTTTGATTGCATTTTATCTTTCAGTCTACATCGATAATAAGCTGATACCCTCTGACACCTTCATAAGTGATGACAAGCAAGGGAAACAATTAAAGGACGCACATGCGGCCTCTTTAAAAGAGGATTCCCGCCACAGTTACAAAAATAGCAAAACCTCCTCACCAATATCAACTTTATCGATACTTGCGACGGATGCTGGGCATAGGCTTGAAGCTCGTAAATTGAGAAAAGTGAAAAAAAAATATCGCAAATTTTTATTTCCTCTACTTCTGGCTTATAAGCTAAAATTCTTCACGCTAATCCCAGTGTTAATCAGTGGTCTAATCCTGTTGGTAGCCTCCACTGGTTTAGCCGGTTTCTTCTTTGCCCTCTTTACCGCAGTGATGAGTTTAAAGGGCACTGGTGGGAAAGCAGTTGTCGTCCAAGAATATTAATTAACTTTAAAGAATTACTTTATTCTAATGAAATAACTCCTATTGTTTCTTCTGAACTTCGTCTATCTGACTTTAGGAAAGGAAAAAATTCAAGTCAACTATTTTTGAATAAAATTCAATCATCATTGAAAGACAATTCGAACGTCTTCATATCCGGCAACATAAAATATGCAAACTAAAGTGTTTTGTGTGCGTGCATGCCTCGAAGTATATACATGCGCCAAACATATGCTTTTAAGTAAAAATCGTATAACAACTGATAATTATAAAGCACAACAAACCTATAACACTGAATATCGCGGAAAATCATAAGCAAAGTGAACTGCACGGAATTAATTAACCACCAACATCACGTTTAGCGATAGATCATCCATGCCATAGACCTGAAAAATTGGCATATGTTGCTTTCATAACAACACGCACACACAATCGGGCAAATATTTTCTATTATAACAGATACTTGGCTGCGCATCTAATGGAGGTGCAAATTAGTAGCAATGGAGCGTAAAGAAAACACAAAAAAACACAACCAAAAAATTATATAAACTTGTTTGGAAATAGATGAAACAGTCGCTCACACCGCCCGTTTGCACACCCTACGCGAACTAAAATGTATCTATATTTATACGCTTTTTTATAGTCAAAGTTTTCAGGGTCGCAAGAGCCATGCTTTAAAGTCAGGCGGAGAAGAGGAATGAATGGAAAGAAAAAATGGATGGTCTTTGAAGAAATTGAATAAGTCTTGACTGGATTACTTATGCACTGCGTTTGCTCACTTTCTTTCACTCGCAAGCGAAAATGTCAAAACGCGTAAACCGGAATTTACGCGCTGGGGGTTGGAGTGAGGTGGCCCCTAGAAAAATACTCTTGAACATTTAGTTTCGCTCCTTTTAGGGGATCAAAATAAAGTGTAAAATATAATTCACATTGTATTTGAAGTAAAAGTTATTTTTACGAGTAGGTGGAGGTTGATATATGATAAAAAAAAACTATCTCTTAACTCCTATATGGAAAGTAAGTAATTTCTTAGTCAAAGTCAAATAAAGGGCATAGCCACGTTTTGAAATAAATTTAGTCAAAATTTATATTACAGCGCAGCAGGTAAAACTTCCAATGAAGTCGAAAAAAAGTTGTCTTTTTATTCAGCTAGAAACGAGACGTGTGTAGCACAAGCTTTTATTCTGTAAAGCAACAATGCCGTATTATATAGACATTATCTGATATTTATTGTTCGTTTATTATTGTTTATTATCCACCGTTCTAAACATTCATTCTTGTTGGAATTTATTGAACTTTAACATTGTTGTTGTTGTCATGACTGTTGTTGGTTGTGGCTTAAAAAAAATCAAGTAAAGGCATTTCGGTGTTACATATGAATGAATAAAATGAGGATACATGAGGACGACACAAACTGAAAACGAAATTTTATTGTTTTTGTCTTCACTAGGGCATACGGGCATATGGCGACCAAATACTATGTTAATCAGTAGAAAAAGTATTTGCTATAAAGTATCTACGTAATCAAGTTTCACAAAATTTAAGAAAGAGGCGCAAGTTAAATATTTGTGCAGCTATTTTTCAATACTTTATTTTGCGTTTTAAGAGAAGACGGACAGTGTGCACAATAATTCTTAACATTCACAGAAAGGGTTTACCTTTATATAAATTCGTTTCACCGTAGTAAGTATTTTGTGCGTAGCTATCTTTCGTGCCGTCACCACTGCCGTAAGATGAGTATTTCGCACCGTCCTTTACAATCATAGGAATGTATTTATGCTGACTTTTCTTATAAGGTTGAAGGTCCACAACTTCACTGGCATCCCATGCCTGGTCTTTCGCCAGCGTAAAAGTACCCCCGCGTATCCGAAAAGGCACTGCCTCAGATTGTGGCAAGTAAATCAAGTCAAACCGTGTATTATCCTTTACTGGTTCGCTAAAAAACCATTTCAAGGCCAAAAATCCCGTAGCGACTAAAGCGATTTTACTCAGGGCTAACGCAGAAGTGGATATAGCCGTCAGCACTTTCAGCATTAACGGGATTAGTATCAGTTTAGCCGCCAAGACACCCATTAGCAAAGGCATCGCGAACTTGTGTAATTTTTTGTAACGATGTGACTTATGAGATTTATGGCGTCCTCGTAAAATAAACGATAATTTTGATATTCAAGTAAATTCATCAGAACGCTAGTAAATAAATACCTCCTTGTAGTTCGTTGGACGTGCGATCCATCAAAATAATATTGTTATATTCTTCCGGTGCAGGCGTCCGAGTTACGAGTTCGGTATTAGAAATATTTCTTAAATTTATTTCCATCTGAATTAATAATAAATTGTCATTTTCAATACTAGAATTACTGCTTATTGCATCAAATGTTCGCACCTTCGCCAATTGTTGACTTATACAGTAACAAACGATTAGGAATCTTAAGGAAAACATATTACGGTGAAGCCTTCCGTTCATCGAAAAATTAAAAAAACAATGACTTCTAAACGTTGAAAGTTCTTAACTCTGACTAAATCTTAAGAGATTTGAAAAGTTTATTAAATTTTTTACAAGCTCTTGAATGATTGTGTAGACAATGTTCAGCAAGCAACATAATTTATGCGAAACTTTTCTACATTTGGTTGCACATGGTTGCATTGACTAAACTAACTAAAGCAGCAGCAGAGAGAATAGCCGTAAGAACTTAAAATATGCAGTGTACACATAGAACAAGAACAAGCAAGAACAAACTTTGTTTGCAAAACCCAAAAATAATAACATTTAACAAAAAAATTCTAACGTTTGTGCTGAGTGAAACGAGAATTCGTTGAATCAATTTGCAGCATTCGCATATCCACATCCCAAATGATCTAAATCCGTCATGTGCTCTCTACGGAGAAAGGCTTGGGAGAACCTCAACAATTTATTCAGCGAACTTTTCACCGGCTTCTCAGAACTCCATCAGCCCTTATCTCAATCCTCAATAAATTTTTCATGACCCGATTGATGTACATATGGTCTTTAGGGAGTTTTTTTTTTTTATACCAAATCCGCGCGAGTGGCTAAGAACAGCGATTACAAAGTCAGTGTTCGGGGGTTCAGCTGTCAAGTGCTGTTGAGTTTTGGTCGTAGCTACAGTGAGTGCTTGGTCGGTAAAGGCAGAACAGTTATCGCCTGCGCGCCGAACTACTAGGCTGCGAACAAAAGCTGAAGATTGTAAAGAAACATTAACTTGCAAAAAGCCACACAAAGCTACACCTATTATTTGTTTGAATGAACATTTATTTAATGCGTCATAGAAAGTAAGTAATTGACTCATATCTTGTTTTACTGACAGATATCGTACAATAAGAACCGAACAAAAGCAAAAATCTTTGACTTTTTTCCCTTCAATTATTGTAAGGTTATGCTTGAGGGAGTTGAAAAAATCTTAACTAAACATATAAGAGAAGTTAAGTTATTGTGACAGAAATTAAATCTTTTTATGGCTGTCACCCAAAATTAGTTATATCGCTCAAGTTGATCTATTAAAAACACTTCAATTACCTATATAATGAGCAACGAAACTAATAGCAGCCACGATATAAAGTCACGATGAAGTTTTACTTAGGAAAATAAAAATCCTTCAGTGAATGGGGTTTTGATTTTTCTAAAGCACTCACAGCTTGGGCTGCGGAGTTACAGCTTTTTAAAAATATGAGTAGAATCATTAGCGTTTTCACGGCCAATGAAACAAGAGTGTCAATGGTTGCGCCAATTTATTAACCACCGGCCCTTCCTGCGCTCAGAACAGCTCTGCCATTATTTCGTGAGGCTTCTCGAGAAGCCCTTATAAGAATTGAATCTTGTTGGTAAATATTCTGTGTTTCTGTGCTTAAAAGACGATCGCGTCATCGAGAACGTAGTTTTTCTATTCATTTCAGGTAATCGTTGTCAACTTTCTACCGGGAATGCACTTTTCTTTTAAATTCCGTGCGAGGGTTTTCCTATAAAATGACTAAGAACCTCTACAATTTGCTAGTTAATGCTGCTGTGGCCGAAGATTTATTAATAAAATTTTCTTTTTCTTTCCCTTTTCTAGCAAGTTTTAAGTCTCTCTTTGGCATGTTTGGTCTCTTGGCAATCAGGGAAATGTCTTTATATTATTACAATTGTTACTGTCTTTTAAGCTTTCACAACTAACTAATGTGGTTTAAAGAAATGTTTGTTTATATTATAAAAAAAAAAAAAAAAAAAAAAAAAAAAAAAACATATACGTATCTAATTTGTAATAGAAATACCAAACTGTAGCAAACTTAATCATGTTAAATGCGACGGATTTTCACTTCCATTGAAGATGAAGGCTTTCAGTTATGGCACGAGTTCAGAGTGAATTAAGTGATTATGTGAATCCAGCAAATTTCAACAACAAATGAATACATTTGCTATGATTGTATTAACCAAATGATGTACATTTTGTTACTTTACGAACTCATTTTATGAACGCACTACACAAAAACGACAAATTCAAAGCAAGTGAAAGTTTTATAGGGCCTTTGCTTTAAGATTTGCCATAAGTAAGTAAGTAAACATGTGTAATATTAAAAATTTACTGGTTTTTTTTTTTTGTTTAGGTATGTCTTTTTGCATTTGTGTATCTGTGTGTGTGTGTGTGTGTGTGTGTGCGTGTACTCACACCCCACATAAAAATGATATTTAAAAAAAAGTCAACAATATTTTTACATGTATTATAAGCGAAGCTCAACCTTAAATTTGAAACTAAGCGGCTAACCTATCTGTTTGCATTGATCGTTAAATGGCTTTCTGACGCAAGTAGTGAAATTGTCACGGTTAGACAAAAATACAAGTGTCAAAGTAAAGTTGATATCGCGTATGTGCTTAACATGTATGGATATGGATCTATGTGTGCATAACCGTATAGAAATTACATTTGATTTAGTTTTAATGTATGAATCAATGCTAAATTGAATTTGACGTTTTTTTTTTTGTTTTTTGTTTTTGTACATTTTTCTGTTTATTCATTTTGGTAGACAAAATAATATATATAAATTTCTGAGTAAGCCGTTTCACTTTCATCTCAAACAATATTCACTCGATACAAACGTTCACTAACGTAACTATCGTATGTGTGTTCGTTTAAAAAACAACAGGTTTTCATTATAACATTTTGTAAATAAATTTTAGAAATTCTTTACTTACGTATTATTGCTTAACTGCACTGCTGAGCTGGCTGCGTCCCCAAAATTAGGTCATTCCTGTTGAATATTAATTTTAAAAAAAAATAATGATTATTAATTTAATTTTTCTTCTTTTGAATAATTTATAATAAATTATATATCAAAAGGTTATTTATGATAATACTTTTAACAAGATCTTTAACAAGATCTTCAAAATCATACAATCACATGCAAGCAGCATAAGTTTTTCTTGAGAAATTTCTATACTTGCAATGACACGAAAAAGGTCCGGCCGCTGTAAATTTTTCCAAAAATTAATTTCCTTCTCACTGCCTCTAAGACCCCATGACCCAATGACCCCAAGAATGATTTCAAATACTGTTGTGGTCGTGGCATCAATTTAAATGGTCAATTATTGTAGGGCAGTACATGGGCACCTAAAACCTGTAATGGAACGAGTGACAGACGATTGCGACCAACAACTCAGGGGTCGTGGTTTCAAATCTCAAGTCTTAGATTCGAGTACTTTAAAACTTTAGTCTTTTAATCTCCCCTTACTCCCCTGGCTAGTAGGAATTAAAGTAATAGTAGTAGTAGCAATAGTAATAAGAATCAAAGAAAATTAATAAAAGGGTGTCAAAAAATGATCTCTGCCCATTCGAACACTCGCCAAACACACAAAACTAATATTTGTTGGAGGGGAAGCTGCGCTGTGGGAATGTGGATTAAATGATTTCACCTGTTTTTTTTCGTATTGTTCAAATTCGGACCCTTATCCGCGCTTCACTTTTTGATTCCCACAGCGCATATTCAACCACGCAATCGCGATATGATTCATTGAGACTGCTTTGAACACAATTTATTACATCATAATTATGCAAATCGGGATATTATTATTTTTCTTTTGTATAAATCTTGTAAATGTTGTTACAAAATATTCAGCCGCTTTGCGCATCTCTACCTTTGCCAGAAAAATTTCGTATATTATTAATAGGTTAAATGCACAAAACATACAGCCGGTGAAATTGATTTGCGTTTTCGTTACATTCGTGCGCGTACGCGTCCAAAAAGCAAGCAGCCGCATACGTATTTATTGAGTAATCACTTACAAAAACAAAAAAACATATTAAACAAATAAATGTAAATTAATTTCTGCCGACGCCAGCGTACGTACGTACGTTAGGCGCGTACAATTTTTTGGAAAAATATGCAGACAAATAAATTTTGCGATGACAGTTAGTTGTTTTAGGTTCACTGCAAAATTTGTTTGCTACGTATTTAGAAAAGTGTCAACTATAAATTTATGCCTTATGTGAAAGTAGTGCACTCCTCTCTTTCGCTCAACTCATTTTGTGCAGCTAATGCAAATGTCCCGATAAGTTCTAAGTGGATTTAGCCAAACCATTCTTTCTACTTATTATAAGCGGCTTTCCAATTGCAAAGCAAAGGCACGAAAACTGAATTTGATTCTTAAATAATGAGTGCAAGTGCGTTAAGGCAATAAAATATCAGAAAAGCCAATTTCCAAGTCTACGCAGCAAAATCAATGAAAAAACTTTGACAAAACGTGCATGGATTTTGAACAATCCAAAAAAAAACTCTCAAGGTCGACTAAGAAGTACAAGCATGGCTGTTTCCCATAGTAAACCGTTAGATACTTTTGTTGTACATGAATGAAAAAAACTCTGTCTCAGATTACTATTCCAACCATATATATATATGGATGTAGAGATTCTCTTTGTATACTCAGCACAAGGGGATGCGTGCCTACGCATACTTTTGGTGGGTGAGTGTGTGTTTGTTTTTATTTTGAACTAAACAAACTGGAAAGACGATAAAGTTTGAAAACCGGTCTCTTCTTGAAATACTTTGCTTTGTCATTGAACAGATCGCTTCCATTCCTATCTCGACATCATGTTTCGTACACCAACTCTCATGTCGAGCTTGACTCGAAGTTATATTATTTAAAATTATTGCTTGCCAAAGACTGAAGATTTTGTTATAAAGACGACTTTTTAGGGAAAGTCATTAAGGAGATAAAAAAAAAAAAAAAAAATGAAAAAAGCAAACGAAAGCCCAATAACGAGCATACTGTTCTGGTGGGAGAGAGTCCAAGCATGACTTCAATCATACTTTTCCATCTCTTTCTTATCAAATTTGTTTACATTAAAATCTTAATACTAGGATTTGTTTCGAAAACAAAAGGAAACTGTAGAGAAAATACAAACTTAAATAAAAGGAAACTGTACACCTTTTCCACGGCAATATACAAACTGAGATTATAAAGTGTGCCATACGTTTGAATGTCAAGAGTTGTCAGAGTATCGTGAACAGAATGCTAATGTTAATGTGCACTGTAGTGTGCCTTTTAATGATTGCAAAAAGCAAAGTTAAGAAGCATTTACTGATTAATAGAATGCAGAGCATGAACGAATATTGCGTAGAGAGTTCGAAACTCTCAACGCTCATCACACACATACTCTCTCCTCGTTTTTGGGCAATCGATCGGATTTTCGCGCTCCTTATCAAGACCTTATGTAGACCTTTCTGTTACGTCTTTTCATTTCCATTCGTTGCAAAATGCTCTTCTACTTCCATAGGTAGCTTACAAACTATTATTGTTAATAACGTATACGAGGGCGTGACAATCTTATCATGTCCCAATTATGAAATACATACTGTGTGGAAAGAAGCCATGTTTTTTTATTACAAGTGTCACAGGGTTCAATGATTCGACGCAAGCCCTAAAAAAAAATATCTTTCAGGTAATTTCGAGAAGATCTTTTTAAGTGAGGAAGCATAATACAAGAACTTAATACAGCTGTACATAGCACTTCGCTCGTGTAAATACATAGTTAAGTACAAATTGTTGAAAAAACTAAATGGATTCGTAATTCCGTTTGATTATTACTACAAGCGTACAAATTCCTTCTTTCTCGTCCTTTTTGTTTGCAAATGTAAAATAAACGTCTGTTTTAGTTAAATTTCTACTATTAAACATCTTTTCTTTGTTTTTTTCTATTCTACTAAGAACCCGAACGAAAATTGTATTCGTTTCAGGTCGAATCTTCGACTCCCTGCATGCCCCTTTTCTACGCTTTAAAAAGCCTTGCGAAATATTTGCATCAAATTTGGTTTCAACGTCTGTTTTAACATTCTATCCGTCGAAGGCTGGCTATATATAGCAATGACAGACGGTTATCGCTTATTGCATTATTTGCAAATTTGAGGCGCAAAACAACTTTCAGTTTTTTATCCTAATTACACGGTAAGTCATAAATTGAAGCAGTCTAGAATTCAAATAGCCTAAGTATTACAAACGAAGGACCAAATTTAACATATCCCTCCACTTTGGTGAAGACTACAGAGTAAGGGTTGTTTAGTGCATTCTTAAGCATTAAATCATTACAACGCAGAAGGGAAAGACAAGAAGAAGCAAGATTGCAAACAAATGTCTTAAGGAAATACACAAACATACGCAAATGAAAAGGTCATAAAAAACAATGAACGTCCAGCACCATTAACGCCAGACAGCTGCTCGCCTGTGTAAAGTAAATCATTTATAATTATTCAACACTTTTGCTTCATTAATTTGCCATCATTTCAAATTAAATTTTATTCCTCTAGAGATGAGAGAGTGCTCTTTATCTCTACAAGACAAACTTCGCAAATACAACAACATACACGCACACATAAATCGAATTGGCATCCTTTCCTTTTGAACACATATGGTTGTTTAAACCTTCTTCCACCTCATCTATTGTGCAAACAGAAAAGAACTCTATATACATGCATTATATTTCCTCCATTTATTGAAGGCATATTGCATTTCTCAATTTTGAAGTTAAGGGGAAAAAAAAAAAACTAAAAATTTACGCAATGTCAGGTGTGGGGTTCGAACCCACGCTCCCTCTCGGGAACCAGAGCTTAAATCTGGCGCCTTAGACCGCTCGGCCAACCTGACTTACAAATGTTCCATCTCAAGTTTCCATTTAATACTTTTTTCATTAAATAAAATTTCAAGTACCACAGCGATTTAAGTAAATAATATATATAACATTGTAAAAATGAAAACAACTATGAAAAAAGTGGAATTTTAGGGATATTTGTGTAAAGCAGCATCACTTTGCTATATTGAATGCCCGTTACGTTGACGATGTGTGACGAATTATAGACTCTTTTAAATGCTAGGCTAGTAATAGTAATAGTTTGTTCAACATGCAGATACAAAATTCTTAAAAAATTTTAAATAGATATTTACTGCGCCATATATTACGAGCTTATCGGGTCACTTTAATACCTTGACTACATGCAATAATAATTTGTATATATTAACAATAAGTTAAGAAGAGAAGAAAGTTGAATCCATCTTCTTTCCGTTAATGCTCTCCTGATGCTCCAGAGGCAAGGAAACGTCTTAATTTCCATGAAACAGACCTAGCGATCCAGCATAAGTGGCAATATTAAATTTGGCTTAATAAAGTATATGTAAAAACGTTGGACTTTCGATGTCGACGATCAGGTCAGATCTTTCTTTAGCTACTAAGCATGTAATTCGCTACTTTACTGAAGACATGTAAAATATACAAAATTTATTAACAATAGTCGGACTCTTGAAATCCACGGCAGTGTTTTAAAGAGAGCTCATCTGTACATTTGACGCAAAACGAAGCGAGCGGTTTACCTGACTAAAACCATCATCACTACTTTGAAACGCTATAGCGGGTAAGGGCAAACTACTAAATGCCCTACACAACCTCACAGGTATTTATATAACCACTTTCGAAGTAGGGTATTAAAGGGGAAGTAATCGACAAACGATCTTCAAAAGCGTTCGTCCTCGGACCAAAACATGTCGGTTTAACGAAGTGCATAAAGATGTCTATGAAACTGGGGCCTATTGGTTGAACACGATGAAAGAAAACCGACGAACAGACGGACAAGGTTGGATATTACAAAAGGTGAGTGTATTTCAGGCACTTTTGAGCGTTGCATACATCCGAACAAACTTAACATACCCTTGTGGCTATAATCTTGAAAATTTCAAACTATTTTTATGATAGAATCTATATACATAAAATTACACACTAGAAACGCTTCTTATGTAACCGAGAACGATGAAAATTAAGCAAATTTATTATTATAAGAATTTCAACGTAATCGCAATTGTTGTACAAACAAGAGACAGCACTAGTGTACCTCATGCCTGGGTAGGGTATTAATGGTCGTGTAGCTTCATTTACCGTTATGTACATTGTTTACAAGTTCACGCGAAGAGAAACGGAGAGCAACGAATTCCATTTCAACTGAAACGCACAAGGCTACTTCAAATTAGAAATAATATTGAATAAATGAATGAAATGAGTTTTTCTTGTGACTTTCTTTCTTTTCGTATTATTATGTTTTTGCCGCTTTAATGGCCGAGGCAAAGAAACTGTTTTTTACAAGAGTACGTTGTTTGGAAGAAACATTACTGAGGGCGAACTGAATTTTTGTTTGCTCTGACCAATAACGTTATTTACTTCCGCTGCTTTGTTAATATTAACATAATCGAAACAATGAGTTTCACAATACATATGACTGACTGACTGTTGTTTTGTAATGCTGCTGCGGCTGTGGCGACTTTTACTCTCCGAACTGAAGTTTGTTTCTTCCGTTCAATGCTTTCGTTTTCTTTTTACTTTATTTTCATTCATTTATTACTTTTTTTTTCTCTTTTTATTTATTTACTTTTTTTTTTTCTTTGTTAGTAGTGTAAACTATGTTGTAATCTTTGCATGAGTGTGAAATCATTTAAAATTTTACTTTTCAGTTTAAATATTTTTTTGGTTTTTTCTTTAACTTTTTTAGACGTCGTATATAAAGCGGCTGCCACAGATAAAGTTACATCAAATTTAACATAATCAGCAAAAGTATTGCACGCATATCTCAGATTCGGTCAATCATAAACGATTACAACTTGGATTACATCGATCTGATTAAAATTTACAACATCTTCAGCAAATATGAAAGCTTTTATAATTTTTGTGTTATTTAGTGTGCTAACGGCCATTAATTGTGCGTGGGCTGCCCCTAGTGTTGAAAATAATAAAATCGAAAATGACGCTTCATCATCTTCGAGATACGGAACGGCAGCCCGTTATTTGGGCTCTTGTTTCGAGCAAGACGACACAACCACTTGCTTGGCCGTTAAAGGCATTGTAGCCTTGAATCGTGCCGCCAAGATGAACAATATTATATTAACGGATGGTTTATCTCTTAAAAGGTGTGCTTAACTACCCGCATATGCATATCTCGAAGAAAGCAATTGAATGTAAAAGAATCATTAACAACAAGAATAGGGAAAAAGCATTCAAAGAAGTAGAAATCACGTAAAAAAAAGTCTACGAAGAAGAAAAATTAATCAAGTTTCATAAATGAATCGAAATTCAAAATTAGATTGATTTGAAATTTAAAAAAAAATTATTTCTTCGTTGTTGTGATTAATCGATTACTAGTAGTCATTATATATACGTGCTTTAATTGATTTGAAGACTTATCAGCGAGTCTCTTTTCTCTTCTTAGAGATCCTGAAAGTCCTGTACAACGCTTTGGCCGCGCCATGATTGAAAATGATATTTATGCTGAACTGCCGGAAAACGCTGAGGAACGTCAAGAACATTTGACAGATATGGCTGTTGAATCTGCCGCTGAATTCTTGTCCACTCATAACTTGGAAGTTAAACTACCAAAGGAAACCACACAGAGTCTGGCGCGAGCGCTAGAAGAAGGTGCACAATGAAAGCTTTTTGAAATTTTTCAACGAAAATTCTGTAACCGTTATTTTCTTCAGGTCGCGGTAAAATGAAAAAAATTTTAGGCCCTTTGATTATGGCTGTTGGTGCTAAGCTGTTCGCTGTAGTGCCATTAGTGCTGGGTGCTTTAGCCTTATTGACCTTTAAAGCTGTAATTGTGGCCAAAATTGCTTTAGTATTGGCTCTAATACTAAGCGGTTCTCGCTTACTTAGCGGTCTAGGTAACAAATCCGATGGCGGTTTGGGCGGTGCCTATAATTCGGCAGGTAGCTGGGCCGGCCCTGTAAACTCTGGCTGGAATGCAGCGGCTTCGTCATCTTATCCTTATGCTCGCAGTATAGATTCGCCGATGGATATCGATAACAACAAAGCCCAAGAACTAGCTTACTCCGGTCAAATAAACAATGTGCCTAATTAGGTGAAGCATTTTCCACTTATGAAACCAAATACTACGCCTTCACTTCGTCTATAGTTTATAGTTAATTTATTATAATTTATTATGTCGCACTTATTTAAGTATCGCAGTCAATGCTTTAATCTCTTACAAACGCATATACTTCAATGGATATAACTGCAATTAACTTCTAGATTCGAAAATAGTAAGCAGTGCTTGAAATGTAAATAAAATTCAATTTGAAAAATTCCTTTTGCGTAACTTGCATCTAAGATATAAATAGCTACAGGTAGCCGCCACGAATTGAAGCTTTACTATACAACGTCTTTACCAATGAAGTGTACAGCACTTCGACACTATTACTAATTGATTTGAAATTGCATCCAGAGCTTTTCTGAACAAACACGAAAGAGTTGCGCCATTTGTGTGTGAAATAAGCATTGAAGACATTCCTAAGGCGATTTAAACTTGGCAAAGGTGACGTAGCGTTTACATTCGTCTTGATTTTACTACATCTGACATCAACAACGCAATAAACTTTAAACTCAAACAGCCTATGTTTGCCGCCACAGATTGCTGAAGGGTTAATACAACATATCGGACATCGGTACAAGAGAATGCAGCTTTCCTACTCACGTAATTATGATTTCATCATTGTACACGCAGAGAATCATAACAAAAAGCCATAAAATAAATAAAAATGAAAAGAAAAAAGTTAAAAATATATTGATTTTGCATCTCTTTCTACTTTTCAATGGCGCATTGTAAGGCGCCATTCCTTTAACAGAGATCATTTTACGTTTTTATTCAGAATACTCTGAACTTCTTCGACTTATGTAACAGTGCCATAAAGCGTTCACTTCACAGAAATGGGATCAGGGGAGATTGAGAAGCACAAAAACGTTTCGTCGTTTTTTTGACGAGTTCTTCCTTAGTCCTTATTTCAGAGGTGAGAAACAAATCGCTCATAGAACTTAATTAATCCGCCATCTATTCCACAATCGAGTTCTCGTATATCCACAACACAAGGCCATCTTTCCATCTACTTTTCTTGAACAAATTCCCGCGAGTTTTGTTTTTCGTTCGCTCTGCATGCAACATGACTACATGTGTGCGAAACAAGCTATTATGTCCTGATTAACTCGAATGATTCTGCGACTCGAGAGTCTTCAAGTAATATTTATTGTTAGCACATCTTCTTTTTTTTGATGATCTCTTAAGTTTCCAGCAGAATGTGCAAAAGGTTCTATGAAGAATCGAAAATCGCCAATAATTCAACGAACAAGAACGAGTTCGGAACATTATTGAAACAATTTAAAATTTGACACTAATGTTTATTGATCGATCGAACAATCACATAATGTGTACATGTCCTCGTCAGTGTTAAATTCTGAATCGGGGCAAGCGTGTCTGTCTGTTGAAAGCATTATTCCGGTCGCCAAATGAAGATATTATGGCTTCAAAGTTGGCAAAAACATGGGAAATTTTTGTAGACAGGCACACACCACAACGTGCAGAGGGGAACAACTCGGTTCCCCACTAACAACCACCAAACCTATTGCCTAACTATAGCAGATATAGCGATGGAAGCTTTCTCTCGTATAGGCTAGAGTACATGTACAAAAACGGAAAAATCGACCACGCCCACCACCACCATACATAGAATAACGAAATTTCGTTTATTTTGTGTGGGTTTCTTTGCAGAGCAGCATGGTAGGCATAAATGAACGGCTACAGGCAAATGTAATTTTCTTTCTTATTTATATTGAAATGAGAAAAATTGTGCTCAAGTTATGATTACAATATCGTTTATTAATTAAGCATATTGCTGGAAGAAGGGAAGACAGCAAATTTGTGGTAAATATAAAAAGCTTCTTCTTCTATAAGTTAAAAAACGCACACCAACTATTTAGAAAGATATTCGTAAGTGGAAGTTGTTCTCACAAGTATTCCATAAACATTGTTGACCCGCCTGACGACTTGACACATTTTTACTTGCTTCACACACTAACTGACTTCGGTAGCGTTCTTAGTACAGTTTTCTTGCACACACTACACAATAAAGATATTCTCATATACTCATTTTTACCTATCAACTTGCTGAAGAGCTTAGAAAGTTTCATAAGCAAAAAAAACACATCGCAATTTCTTTGCTAAACTTATTCGAAAATAAACAGAAAATAAACAAAAGAAAAAAAACGAGGCAAAGTCAATGGTGACTATGCTAGAGGAACGTACCAAGCAATTGGAGAGTAACAGTAATGTGTAAGTGTCACACATAACCAAAATATGAAACGCTGTTTTTTGCATGTCAATTAGAATGAAATTTACATAGCAGGCACCCACCTAGCTATGTGTATGCGTATGTGGGTGCGCGTATGAGAGGGAGAAATATGAATAGCGAAAGATATGGGACATTAATTGGACAAAATTAACCGATTATTGGTTCGTTGACGGGGTAATGCCATGACAATGACGTTTAATATCATTATAACTGTGGTTATTGTTGTTGTCACTATTGTGCACACTTATTGTGGGCTCATTGACAAGACTTCCCTTTCATTTGAATTTGGAACGTGTTTGAATTTTCGCCTCACCGAACACTTGCGCGTGAATGTTTGTCTCATCGTATGCCTTCTTCGCTGGCGGTTAGCCCTGTTGGGAGATTGAATACAATAACGGGATGGGGAGGGGGTGTAATATCAATAATTCAATTATACGCATAATACATGCAATGATTTCGATTTAATAAATTGTTGCTTTTATTTCTTTACACTTGAATACGCATTTTTACGTTTTTTCCTACGCATAACGTGAATTTTTTTGTACATAGCTTTAGTGTCGATTACTTTACTTAGTTAATATATTCTTATTGGACAAAAAGATAACTAACACTATTGTACAAGAGCTCTGGCTACTGATTTGGTTATTGGAAAAAGTTTTTGTTGTTACATATATAATTTGTATTCGATATTCAAAAACTGTATGTCGTGGATGCCGTGGTCATATAAATAGCTTCGTTAGTCTCTTAAATAGCCACAAAACTTTGTCAACCTTTAGCACTTGCTGTTGTTGTCGAGTGGTGTGTTGCATTTAAAAGGATTTTAAGTGAATTAAAATAAATAAAAATAAAAATAAAGCATTACTTACACAGTAGGGAATAAATTATTTAAAATATTTTAAAAACAAAAATGTATTCAAAAATCTTTTGTGTTGTGTTCGTTGCGACACTTGTGGGCAGTACGGTTGCCTTGCCGAAACAGGATAACAGTGAGAAGGATTTATTAAACATGATCGAGAAAATGGATAATGTACCTTCGCTGCCTCTATTCGGGGGTCTACGCATCGATCGTGTTGAAAATGGCCGTTCGTTCGGTTCATCTAAGGCTGTCGAATCGTTCGACGAACGCGCCGAACGTTATCTTGAAACTCATCAATTAAACTTCTCTTTCCCCGACGACGATGAAGAAGAAGACGACTTCAATGGTCGTTCTATCGAGGGTGAGCAAATAATTTCACAAGTTTCAAGAAATGCGAATAAGAGAATAGCGATAGTGAAAACTAAAGTGAACGATTTAAAATTTTTAAATGCAAGAAAGTGACACCACCAAGAGTTACAAACGTAGTGAATTGGATTGTGATTTGCCAGCTTTATATGCCGCGTTTGTCTGTCCCTCCGCGAATTATAAAATACTGTAATTATGCAACGTTATGCAAAGGGAGATGAACGGATTAAATCTCTAGTTGTACGTCTGTCCGACCAGTACTCTGTCCGTTATATCAAGCACATCACAGACACATCTCCCTCTCTTCGCTCTTCGAAACGCATAAATGAACATTTTGTTTGTTATGAATGGTTTTATAATTAGAACAAGCTTTGTAAAGGCGGTCGCTTGAATTATTTTTCAATTAGTAAATATTGACTCTAAAGATTTTTCTCGCTTCTAGTTTGAATTTCGAATCAAGTCATATCCATTCAATATCCGCTTACTCAGTTTGTTTTTAACTTTTGATTTAACCCACTCTAGCGTGGAAAGTTCATTGACTGAAGGAAAAGCTTGATAATTTCACTAAATAGATCAGACCTTAGAAACTGAAAAAGGTAGTCCTTTTGACTGACTTAATGCACTACCATTGTGTTCATTCCAGGGTTAAATTAGGCTTCAAAATAATCTTTCACTCTATCATCGGCTTTTAAAATCAATATTTACCATTTTCCTGCCTGGTTCAATGGAACAAAGAGCATTGCTTGTTTCTAGAACGATTTGCTTTCTTTGTCTCTTCGAGCGGAAAACAGCCAATGATTTTCGAGATTTGCACACACACAAATGTTCTTCTTTTTCATCATTTTGATAGCATTAAATAATTTCTTCTTCCTCTTTTTTTCCTTTTCGAGAAAGTTAATTACGTGTCCTCCGTAGCGCCTTTGTGGGCTTTTTTAAATTGTGATGTTAAAACAAAGCAAACAAATATGCGGCACAAGTATGAAAAAATTACATTTATGTAACACATCGTTTTACATCGATATAGATAATGACTGACAGTCATATGATACGATTGTCTTCCATATAGCAGACTTCTAGTATACCTCACGCAAGCAAAGCTATTTTTCACAGGACCTAGAAACTATAGCACTGTAGTAAAGGGAAGAAATACTGCGAATATCATTAACATTTGGATAAGTGAGAATTAAGCTTGAAAGACTGGCAAAATTATTTATTTATTTTATTTATTTATTAACGAAACGCAAGATGTGGTATTTACTGTCTTAATAGTCGATTTCTTACGAATTTCATAAGAATCTATCGTAGCATCAAACAAGTCGTAATTATCATAGAACTTTCGGCAAAGCAAACGGAATGCATTACAATGCGACAAATAATGCCGAGTACACCCACTAAGAACATTGAAGGAAATATTGCTTAGCAATTCCAGACCGTCACTTAACGACGACAAAGACACCACTTGTATATATATCACGTAATGCTTTTCCTCAAACGCTGGGCAAATATGTACGAAAAATTCAATTATATTACATTTTTATCCGTCGACCAAAGGATATTAATTTTGTCTGTGTTGCTCCTGTTGGAGAGCGGTTAAGTCAAGGTCGAAAATTGGCAGCATAAACTCACAACCAATGGGCGATTAAGAGAAGGTCTTATGAAATCGAAAAAGTATTCTTTTTACACATATCTGTCTGCTCTTCGGCGAAAGTACCTTCTTGAAGAATGCAAAACTTTTTGTAGCGTTTATACTGCTTTGAAGTTTCACTTTCTGTGTATTCTTGTAAGTCAATTAAATAAATGAAATTTCCTATTCTACGTAAGTTGAAAATTTTTTCCGAACAATCGCCAAATATTTCAACAATTTCAACCATTTCCTCAGCATAATTTACCGTTTGCAGTTAAAGTGTGTTTTACCTGTGTACGTGCCATGCGGTAAGCTTACTCTAAAGGAGAAAGTCTTGAATAAAAAAAAAAATTTCAATTTATTGGTATTTTTAACATGCGTTACTTGCTCAACAGAATGTAAAGAGTACTTGCTACCATCTGAGCAGAGCGTTTAACGCAACGAAAATCAAAATTCTTTTCACTACAAGTTTACTCTTAGTTCGAGGTACTATGTGGGCAGTTTACAAATAGTTTGTGATAAAAATCAATGCAAGCGAGAAAAAATTTTTATTTCCTTAATCCTTAACACGTACGACGTAGAGAGGAAGAAACATGCCGCAAATCATAGGATGGCTGCATACGCTATAAAAAAGGCCTGTGAAACGCATAAGAAATGCTTCAAATTCCTGAAGTATGTTAAACGTTCAATGCGATTGCCAGTTTTTATATATTGTAGCATTTATTTGCTGGAAATAAATAGTAAAACCGATGCCATGTGTGTCACTTTCTTTCGTATGAAAATCTAACAACTAACTAACCCCAGCAAAACGCACTTGGAATTCAAATCATGCGCGCTAACATCACGCAAGCCACGTACGTAGGCCATTGAGGAAAGAAGTCGTCAATAAATAATGATTCATCTGTGGATTTTGATAAGAGAAATCTTTAAAACAAATTGAAAAACAAAGGTTTTGAGAAATCAAAATAAGAAAAAATTTTTTTAAATTTTTATTAGTTGTCAGCGCGCTCTTGCACAGACTTAACATAATTGTACTGTAGACTTGAGCAGACTTTTCCTCTAAACGAAGTTTAGTACGTAAGATTATCAACGTGATTTCGTTAAACAAGTGCAGAATCCAACAATTAATTCTTACATTCACACTGATCGTAACTATGAATGAATTACAAGCACTTCTTACGTCACGAACAGTCCATGAATCAAATGGACGCATCAGTATAAAAATAAGTGAACGAAATCAAAAAATTACTCTTCTACACTCTTCCTCTTTCTTTTCTTCCTATTGTTTTTTTTTTTTTGTTTTTTTTGCAGAATGAATTTTTGATAAGGAAATGTATTAGTATTGGTAAGAAAATTGTTCACTTTAAAGCGCATTGATTGAATTGAAGCGTTTTTAAATGCAGCAAAGTAAAAATTTATTCAAAAGCCTACTTTTCGGCGTAGACATTGCACTTACAATTTACTTTATTTTTCTTTCACAGAGTCGCGTAGTAAAAAAATGAAGAAAATGCTACTGCCTTTGTTGTTGCTTTTGAAATTGAAAAAAGCGGTAGTCATTAAGGTTCTCTTCACCGTCATTAAATTCATTTCACTGAAAAGTTTGGCCATCTCACTGTTAGCTCTCTTCTTTGCCGGTAAGTAGAAGCATATCGATCTTTACTTTCTTTATTGGCTTTTATTGTAACCGTTTTGAATATATTCAGGCGCAACGTTTTTCAAGGATTTGTTGGGTAAAAAGAAGGAACACATCACCACTGCATACATTACTGGCAGTCCACTGAATGCTGAAATTGTGCATTCAGATTGGAATCGTAATGGCCAAGCAGCTGCTTCTGAATTAGCTTATAATCATTACGGTTTGGCACAACCTTTCTAAGAAGACTTTATTTCGACTCTTTCTAGTTTCTAATTTCACCTTCTACTTTCCTCCTCCTCCTCCTCCTCTCCATCGTATTTCGACTTTTTTTTTTTTTTTTGCCTATGTTTCTTTCTCCCGAATTAAACCCTATTAGAAATTTTTGAACTGAACTGAAACTTTTCAAAATAGACCCTTAAAAATCTTGTACCAAATAAGCAAACTTGGCTACTACAACTTGGACTAAGCTTTGTTAAGATTTTCAATTAATAATTTAATTATTGTATATGATGATAATAACACATGATAATTAATTAATAGTCGTCGTCATTATCGCTTCTTTGCCTTCGTAAAACTCGTCTTATATCGTACTACCAAAAATAAGAAGAAGAAACATGTTGAAGGAATGTGAAAAACCAAAAAACAAGACTTTAAAAACAAACAAACAAATGTTGTTAATAATATTTATGAATATAAAAATATAAAAAAAAAAAAATTAATTCGCTAAAGCATTTTATTAGCTCAGGTTAGTTTTCAATTTTCATGAAATTCTTAGATTTTTGTATAAAATTTTGTCTTTTCATTACGTTACATGTAATTATTATTTGCATATAATTTATTATCATTAATTTTTAAGTATTTATTTAAAAATATAATAATAATAATTTTAGCTTAATTTATTTAAACAGAAAATAAAAGCAACTGAATAAATTAAAATTCATTTTGAAAACGCATAAGCTAAACATTTTTTTTTTATTTTTATGGTAGAAAGGGATCCTAATAAATCAATAAAGGCTGAACGGAATGGTAGCGGCTAAGACAAACATTCCCACGTCAAGGGCTTACACCTGACAAAACACACAGAGAAGAACTTCACTCATTCCCTCGCGTTATTCACGAAGGATTGATTGAAGGCAACAGAAAGGAATATCTTACCCATGTCTTACGTTTACCGTAAGTGAAAGCAGGGACTCAGAACATTTCTTCGGAAATAGTTTAGTAAATTGCAACGTCTAAGAGCGCAAAGGCACGTTCAACTGGTTGCTTAGTTAGGATTAATCAACCGATTGTCTAAACGACATGGCTTGCCTTAGATATCATGTAATTATAACATAACGTCTGTGTGTGTATGATATGCGTATCAAATAAAAGAACTTGGAGAGTAGAAAGCGAAAAGCATAGTGTCGGGTATGCGCGATTCGGCCTCCGCCGCATATAACTTTCTTACTTGTTGTTATTATTATTACTATTAAGTTGGCCAGGGAAATAAATTCTCAAATAAAATCTCAAAACGCTAGCAACTAAGCTCATCGGCTTTACTGAAAACTCTACTGCACTTGATATTTGAAAACCCACGAGTTGATCCTCGCGATACTGTGTTGCCAATCTTGAATGAAGACCGGCGTACCAAACAAATTAAGCTCTTGAAAAGTCGGTTTTCCCTCTCGCATGTAAATCAGAAAAAATAAATTCCCAGACTAAACTAACCTAGTAACAAGAAATATCCGCCTGAATGGCCGAATAAGGAAAGAAACTCAACTAACAAATCAATGCTCGCAGCTTCAAATTTCAAGTTCGATAGAGTTTCCAAGTTCTCTGGCCAAGTTTAGTTTGAATTTTTTATTATAAGCTTCCAAGTTTTCCGAAAACTCGTGAGCAGTGTTAAAGCAGTGATCAGCTGTTTGTTAAGAGTGCAGTGAGAGTGACCTTCAGAGCTATTAAAAATTTTACTTTTTTACTCAACAGCAAAGCCAAAACGAAAATTATCCACTCATTATTATTAAAAATTATTGTGGTTTGTTTGATTGAATTCATTCATTTATTGTCACACTTCGACGACTTTTCCACTTTTGCTAGCGGCAAAAAAAGAGAAAGAAAAACATCGAAAATAAGGCGAATCTGCCAAAGAATCTTGACCACAAGTAGTTATTGTTTCAAATAAGAAAAGCAATCAATAGCATGTAATTAAAAATTATTGTTTCGCTATCAATACGAACGATAGAAAGGTATAAAAAGAAGAGGAATACTTTCGTAGCACTTTAGTTGACTTTAAGCGATTTTCAAATTCATTCCCGATTATGCAGTTATCAAGGACGCTCTTCCATATAGTTTTCATAATTATTTTAATAATATTAACGCGATTCGCGGGGTCTGCTAATGTGAATAACACGTCAAGTGCAAGAAGATTTTTACTTGACGAGGAACATGAAGTTTCGAAGAAAATTCTTAAAAAATGTAACAACAATTACTTTAACTGGATATGTTTAAGAATAGAATTTTTAAAGATTTTAGACAGTTTGTCAGCACGGGAAGAAGTGCGACTACTATCCGGCGTAAGTATTGTAAGGGACGTTAGCCGTCAACCAATCAAAAATTCTGCTTTAATCTCGGGTAAGAAGAAATCTTTTAAATTTAATACTTTACAACGGAGAGCATTTATTTCATTAATATTCCGTGCAGATGCGGCTCGTGGTTATCCTCACAATCCTAATGCTCGGTTTAATGCGTACATCTTGAGGAAACTCTATAACTATCTGCAAACGCATTATCTACGCTTGAAATTACTTAACCAACAACCAATTGAAGAGGGACGTAAGGGAGATGATTATGGCGGGGGCGGTGGTGGTTATGGTGGCCATAAGAAGGGCGGTTACGAAGCTATGATTGCTGCTGCAATGATGATAAAAGGTGCGCGCTTAACAACGCATACTTAAGCAGAAGACCCATTAAGACCTCCTTCACATTTTCTATCCATAGGTAGCCTAATGGCTATGGCTATTGGCGGTGTAGCGCTAATAGCTGGCAAAGCTTTAATGGCTGCTCTAATGGCCTTAACAATGGCTGCGGCTGCTGGCCTGAAAGGCATGTCTGGCGGTGGCGGTAAATCTACTACTTATGAAATTGTTGCTAAACCAATTCATACATCGGGTTATACCCAATCAATGAACTACGATGAGGGGCATATGATGAACAATAACGGCGGATCGAGCGGCTACGGTGGTTATTCAAGATAAAATTTACTGCTCATTAGATAAACTATAAATATTTTTACATAAATTAATGTTAGTTAAGAAATGAAACTTTTCCGTAACACGAACGCAAACGGTTTGAAAACAAGCAAGAAAATTATATTCGGCTGTGACCGAACCTTTTAATTGGTTCGGTGTTGGCGATTTTATCGATGTTGGTAGAACCAGACCTTGAAATTTCCATCGTGCGCCTATTGTCATTTTTTTATCTATTAATCTTAGTGAAAGTAATTGATATCTCAGTAAATGTTTCGTAATCAAATCAATCGTTTTCAATATTTATAAAGACGGGGTCAAATTGTTTTGCGACTTGCTCCAGGTTTGAAAAATATGACTAGCATCGTTGAGGTAAGTCAATAAAGCCATTGTTTCGAGAGCTGTACGACATATGACGCTATCCTGCCGCAAATAAACGTCATCTACATGCAAAGTCTTAGTTCTAAAACAAAGTCGATCAACGTCATTCAGTACATATTCATCCAATGGACGCGACAATTTGGTTTGTTTCTGTACCCAAACGGTTGAAAATGGAGACTGTGATGGAAAACAATTTTGTTTAAAATAAATTTCCGCTACTTCAATTCACTAGGCGAGTATGTGTCAACGCAGAATTGAAAACTTCTTCTGGTTCTTACTTGTCAAAGTACATCGCCGTCAAATTTGTTGTCGAAAGGCCCTACGCATGCGTATAAACCAGTAATTCACTCACCATAACATATTTGCAAAGGACACATAGTAACGATGCATAGGTAAGCCAAAATTGTCCGCTAATTTCGAACGAACTAATCGACAGATTTAACTGAGGGAAGTAAAAAAAGAGCAAAGATAATTCCAAGAGGGAGTATAGATTATTGCAGTTACTTTTAACGTTGCAAGCGGGTGTTTGGCTCACACACATAGGCTGGAAAACAAAGTCGCACAATTACCACAACCCTATGCAGGTAGGAAAACAAAATCCTGTCATTACCAGCTGGAATTGCAGTTCCTTTAGCCCATAAGAAAACGTGTAGCCCAATATATAACAAATATTTTTTTTTACTCTTCGTATGATTACTAAAGAAATTCCTTCCATTAAAGAAATGTAGCGTCTAATTTTAGGCGCAATTATTTCAGATTATGAACTGCAAAACAAATAACCGTTGGGCTATCATTTGAAACCTACTTTGGATAAATAAAAAAATATGAGTTAACATTATTATAAACGAAGAATACTGACTCGTCAGGACATACATTTTTTACATGCTCTACTAAAATGTAAAAGAGATTTTCTTATTTTCTCTTAAATATGATAACAAAAATTTGCATATAAAAAAAACTATAACTTTTCCGTTCATCACTACAGAGAAGACAGATAAGAAGTTGAAAAGAAAAAAGTAACATTTTATGGCTTTTTTTGAAAAAAGTTTTTAAATTGTTAAAATGCAATTGCTCGCACACATGGATGCCGGCGCGCAGAACTAAAATATTTGCAGAGAACGAAACTTGTACCCAACTGGTCTTCGACGATGGATGTTCTAATAATTCTACAAAAATAATATTAAGGTCATTATGGTTTTTAAGAAATATTCGTAAAATGGATAAACTTGAAAAAAAATTAGTTTATCTCTCCTGGACCGCCGATATACTAAAGTAAAGAAATTCCAGCATATGAGTTAAAATAAATGAAACTCTAAAACATGTTGCAGTTGAAAATCAACGGACATCATGTAAACGGACGCCAAACCATTACCCAACCAGCTAACAAAAGTACGCAGTCAGTTCGTAGTGCGGACATAAACGCAATTATTTGAGAAGAAGAAGAAAAAACAGTAAACAACACCAACCAGCGGCAAGCTATACCGGAGAAAGGTGCCGACTTTTAAATGTATATAGATTTGTGAGAAGGTGTTAAGAAAGCCAAAGAGAGAGAGAAGAAGAAGGAAACCTTTGTTAATGACTTTTTCACTTTTAAAATGCGTATAGAAATTCAGTAAATATTATGATTGAAGTGCAAACATTTAGCAAAAGCTAAGGTTGGAAAGTTGTGAACGGCCTAACCGCCATCCAAAGAGCAAATCGCAAACAAATAAGTAAATAATTTAAAAATCGCTTTTTGTCTTCGCGAACGACGCACGCTATCACTCAAAACTGTTGCTAAGTTTTTCAAATCAATGTTTATCAAGTCTTCATGGGTATAGAATGTAATTTAGTTAAGCGAAAGGCAAGCGTCTTAAAGTGCAAAACTTGTCGAGACGGAGGTCAATGTTGATTTCTTGTCGCATTGAATGCATTGAAGTACGGAAATCCATACACCTGACAAACAGCGATCTTGCTGAACACAAAAACTGTATCGATTTTTAGACAATTGTGTGTGCATGTATGTCCATTTAACATACATACAGAGCTTCGTTAAGAGCTGGTAAAAGAAAACCAGTTCACTCTTCAAGACCGGAGAATAAATTCAAAAGTGAAATTTTTTTTTTATATTTTTTTTATATATTTTTTTCTTTTTTGTTTTTTGCTTTTCGAGAGTTTTAAAGAATTTTAATAAGAAAATCGAAGTAAACAACTGCAAGGCGAGAGTAAGTAAGTTTTAACATGTAAGAAAAATACGTTTAACGCAACACGAACTGTGAATGCTCACCACTTAAATTATTCGTAAAGCAAATATAAAAAAAAAACCATTCAACTTTCTTATGAACTTTTAACGTCCAATTGACAGATCGATGAATTTTAAATGGTTTAAGTAAACATTGGCTCGTTCCTTCAAATTGATAATTGTTCGTTTTAGCTTTTTGCATGTGCATCATACTACGTATGATAAGACAGAAGTAAAAATGGTCATGTGAACGTACGGTCAGTGGTGGGAATTTATTTATTGCCTGTTCATACTGAAGAAAGTGTACACATTATGTAAAACAAATTCGAATGTCTCTGAAGGGTATCTTGTGTTCGTTGCGTCAATTTCAAAAAAAAGTCACCTGACTTATTCTATCCTATCAACCATGTTAGTTAATTATAACGTCTCTTTGCGCCCTATCAGCATAAATACATTGAAAAACAAGGAGATTGGAACAAGTCCACGCAGCCTAAGCGGCCTAATGACGCTTTGCGTAACAATGAGGCCAAATATTTCAGGCCCAACCTCACTGAGAGGTCGCAAGTATTATTTGTTACTATTGGAGACTTGTACGGCAACTATTGCTCCGGAATATCAAATTTAATACAAAATCAAAAAGAAAAAAGCGGACGTTTCGTAAGGAGTAGTCGTACAAGTGATCCCATCCAATTTACTTTGAAAAGAATCGCTGCGCGTAATAGAACTCAGTATTTCGTCATAGAAAGCATTATTCTACAAATACACATTCAGTGTTATTAGCATTAATACGCATTTTCAAGTTGCAGGCCAATACCGTAAGAATATTTTAACACTTCTAAACGAAGTGTACGTAAATCATAATTATGGGCGATATAATGTATGTGGTACGACTAAACCAAACCGCACCGTTGATTGACTTATATGCTCTGCCCTCGTTTCGATTGAGAATACTGTGTAAAATTTAAATTTTGACATATTTTAAACTAAATTTTTAATCGAGAGTACGTTGTGAAGTGAACGCGAATATTTGTTCTTTTTCCATCAGAATATTTATAAATATTTCGATGAAAAGAAATATGCAAATCGAGAAGAGTTTCTATTAAGCATTTTTATACTATCGGTGCAAACACATGTTGTTTTCTCCATAGAATATTCAACAACGCATTTTCAATACACATCTGCATACAAGAGCCCTCTTTTTTTACATGCTATTAGAAAACATAAGACGAGATTTGGGTTTAAACCGAATAATTGGTAACCAATACCTACGAGTTTGTTTTTTTTTTTTTTTTTTTTTTTTATTTGAAGGTGAACACTACTTCACCTCCGAAGTGTGACATCTTGACCGATGAAAACTGGTGATTAGATATAATGCAGTTTTCGCTTTCTGCTCTAGTCTAAGGTGCTACCATCTGCCTTTTAGCGGTAAAATTAGTCATAGATGCTCCTACACAGCATCTATTGCATAGACAGCTTTTTTCATTTGCACCATCCTACTAACACATATGTTTTTGAATACCGACATTAAAAAAGGTTTCAAAAAAGTTGATTAAATACATAGAAGCATTCTAACTTGGCAAAATATGGAAAATTTACAGTTTTTTAATATAATTTTTAATTGGACTTCTCGTATAGGGAAATGATGCCAATTAAATTTTTACTTTACTTTTTAATTTATTTTCTTATACTATCGTATAATATGTGGTGTACTAATCACAATTCATAGAAAATTTTCGAATTTCAAGGCAAGCTCTTAATGGTAGCACACAGGTTTCGTTGACACTTAGCTATGATGCAGTCTATCTCTAAAAGTTAACCTAGCAAGAATACCATAATGCATTTTAAGCAAAGGCTTTGCGAACCCAAGCATTTCTATAGAGAATTAAAAGGGAAGCGGTAAACATCTTTTATTACCATTTATATCATTTATTATCATTTATTATCATTTATATGCTTTAAAAAATTTAAATACGTCCTCTGATGTGCTCTTTGTAACGTTTGAAATTTAATCGATAAATAAATATTTGAAAATGCGCCGAACAATGATGATGAAAGTCCACTCTGCATCGCTTGGTCAAACGTGTGAAGATTTGCTACGCTTAGGGGAGGTTGTTATCCCTAGGATGCCTCAGATAAGTAGTGAGTAATCGCGAGTAGCTGGTACCTCTGCAAAGCGCTATTGCTCCACTATTTATATCCAAATTGCTTGTGAACTGTTTTTTTTTTTTTGTTGTTTCGCCCTACCATACATATGGAAAAGTGGACTTTCACCACCAATATTTTGCGCATTTTCAAATATTTTATTTATCGATTATTTCCAAACGATACAAAGAAAGGTGAGTAAATAACAGAACAATGGGAAATAAATTAATTCATTAAATAGCTCTTGTTTGACGGAGAAAAAACGTGGAAAAAGTTGAAGACAAATCGCAAATATACTAAAAGAGAAAAGTTTACTTCGACTTCATCTCTTGACGCGCCTTATCCATTTTCATCTTGAAAGTACCCCAATATTGTTGCAAAGTTGGCTGCTTGAATACGTATTCGTCGAACAATCTTGCGGCGAGAGAGTATAAGTAAACGCTTGTGTCCCAAAGTAGGACAGCAGCACGAAACGAATACTTCTCCACTTGTTCGCGATTTGGTAATTTAAACGCTGAAGTTATTATAGAATCAATTGAAGACTTGTTCTCAGTTGCTTTGTTTTCAAATGAAAATGGAGAAGATGAAGAGAGTGATTCTGGTGATGATTGATAACGTGACGATGAAATTCCTGAAGAAGAAGCAACTCGAGGCGAAGTAGTTGAATATAATCCAGCTGAAGACGAAGTACCTGCAGTTGCAGTTGCATCAACGAATGGTTCGGAAACTGCAGATTGCGAATCGGTTTTCTCCGATGTGCTGGAAAGTGCACCAGAAGTATCCGGCGCTGCGTATACGTACACATCTGATGAGAAAGCAGCCGATTTCTGCTGCCCGGCGGATTGGGCATTTGTAGATGACGAAATGGTTTCCTGCGCTGCAGCCGCATGCGAACTTGCAGATGGCGAAACAGCTACCTGTGAAGCAGCTGAGACTTCCTCAGACTTAGGATCGGCTCCACTAGAGAGAGATTCAGTAATTATTTTAGGAGGCTCCTTCGAATCGTTCGTGAAGAGTTGATTTGCGTGCGGCATGATTTGCAAACATTTTTTGGGTGGATTCATGGCCGCAAGTTTAACCAGACATAGAGGCTTTAAGGCCGGTTTGTATGCCATGCGTATACCTCTGATAATCAACATGATGAATTTCTTCTATTGGTTAACAAAATGAAGCGAAGAATTTTCTAGACTTCTTGCCGTATGACTGATGAGCTTAGGAATTTAAAAAATTTTTTCTCAATTCGTTTATTTTTCTAGCAAATGTTCTTTTGCACTTACTCAGAAAGACACGATTTTTCTAGAATAAGTCACAAATTTATTAATTTTCTTCGATTGAAATTTTCTGACAGCGTTTGTCACTTTTATGAAGCAAGTGTGTCAGCACATGTGCTTTTATTTTCAAAAAATGTTTCAGACTTTAATTTTGACTGAAACATGTTGCTGCAACAAAATGCTTCGTCATGTTGTCCCAATGTAAAAAATTTCTAACAAACTTTCCTAGAACCTAGCACACTGACATATTTTCGCCAAAACGAATGCTCTCAAGGAAGGATGCGATGGATGGACTGGATCCCTGTCGCCTTAACGTACGCATAACGTCTCACAAAAATTTGAAAAAAGTGAAAAAATTTGTAAACTTTTCAAACTACTCGATAAAAGTTCAGGGAAAAGTATCATTTTAGGCTACTAAATGAGTGTGAAGAACGTGGATGGGATAGGACCATTTCTTGAATGCTGCCGCCTACAAATGTTCAGAAAAATATCGACCTTTATTTGACTAGATATTCTCTATTCTTAATATTGTCTTCTTCTTCTTCTCAAGCATTTAGCTTGTCAAGAACAGATGATTCTCGGTGACGTAATAGATTATAAATAAAACAAAATAGACCGCGCGAGTGCGACTTGACATTCAACCTCCTCCTCTCCTTTAGGTTGAATCATTCAGGTTGAATCATTTGTCGGATGTTATTGCATGTAGAAGTCTTTGCATTGTCTTTGCAAAAAGCTACAATTTTTATATATTATGACAAAGGTAGGCGAGGAATTGTTTTAAAAGACATGCTTGCCAGTTTCATATTAAACAAATAAATTCGCAACTGATTTACATTGGCAAGTGATTTGCTGGTGAACAGATGAGACAGTAATTGGTAGTTACCAGATGCGTTCAGTAAACAGGCAAACAACGTATCCCTTGGCAAAGTGTACGCCTTGTCGCAAATGAAAGACACACATGCTTGATGTATCATTAAATTTTTGCTTGCTTGTATCAATTACAATGAAATATTAAAAGGCCATTACGGGGAGTAAGCGTAATTACATGAAATAATGCATAAATTACGATCGGCCTTAACTCAGATTAAAACCTGTTCGTTAAAAGGAGAGCATGATACAAATGCGTCTTTACATAAATTATATGAAATGAAAATTGTTATCGCTTTCGCTGGGAGAAGAGGTTAAAGGAAAACATTCGAAACACTCGAAAGAGAAATGCAAAAAAGGAAAACGAATGAATTTCAATTGAAAAATTCTTAACAACTACGAAATGCGTATAGTGTATGCGCAAGCAAGCTATGGAAAAAAGTAAACGAAAATAAAAACACATATAATTGATGCAAACGAAATGTAACAGTAGCTGCTACTTAATGACTTTCGTTTTTGTTCCAATGACGATGCATATAATAATATGCAACTTGTGATTATTGCATTTTATTGCATAGCGCTAACACGATTTTGTTTATGACACTTAACAGCTTATAACAGTCGAGCACATGTATTTTACTGCATAATTAAATCTAAGCTAATTAACGATGAGCGATAAATGATGACGGAGCGTAATGAGATTGTAACAAAAAAAAAGTAGCCCCTACACCCTCAACAATTATAAAGAATATAAGCGGACAACGGAAGGAGGTACCTTTTACACATATATACGTATTCAATATCATGTTGGAATATATTCTCAGACACGCGAGATCTTATGCCAATACGTAAAGGTAGCTCTTGTCTCGCTGTTAACTGCATATGTTCTGTTATTGCAGGGATCCACACTAGGCGTTATAGCTTAAGTAAGCTATGATGGTTGGGGTGTAAACTTTACGAAGTCGTGATCAACATGCTTAGCAATATTCTGCACATTCTGACGTCACCGGTCATTTACTTATCAATACTAATATCATCAAATTTGCCACATAAGGGAAACCACAGGCAAAGCATGCCTTATAACATGACACCTCTATGACGTTACTCAGAACAGGGCAGAGACAATAGATTGAACACGCCATCGATAATTTTAAATATGCTAACCTGCATGCTAACCTTGACAAAATTAATACGATGGCGCGCTTCCGTAATAACCGTCGCTTTCTAGATTTTTGTTGAACTTCTTGTTTCCAATTCTATACAATATTAAAGTTGGTGGGCAATCGGAGAGAAAGAGAAATGCTATTTGGCTTGGATTGACTCTCTGTTGCTAGCCACCACTTCCTGACTTTGTATATTTTTAATACTCAAATTTCGAATAACAGTTAATCCATCAAGTTGAGAATTGCACAAATGCCACTTAAGGGAAGGCGGATGCTGGCATAGACATATCGTAAAGAGTACGACAGCAAAATGTACAACTCTTGATGAATAAATATTGTAAGGAGTTCAAATAACACTTTAAGCTCTTAATATGCCCTGGCATATGCCCAACATAATGGAAAAGAAAGACAATTGAAGAGACAATTTTTATGATTAAGGATTTGCGATCAAATCGTATAGTGGTGATGAACATTTTTCATTGTGAGCAAAAGTTTAAGCAAAATGTGGAATTTTCTTGTGCTTTACAATCACTCGAAGAATTTAACATACTCTCTGCGATTGGTGCGATAAGGAAAAGTGAAAATTTCATTGACCACAAAGTCTCCCTTTATCTGTCTCATGATATGGATCTGTGATATCTTTTATGGCACGACTCTGCACACAAACCACTACTTATCGCATAAATTTACAATTTCCCACCGCAAATAAAATAAAGCACAGTTTGAAGACGCATTGGTATGATTTCACAAACCGGATTCTTTTCGTTTGTTTTTTTTTTTTTTTTTTTTTTTTTTTTTTTTTTTTTTTTTTTTTTT